CCTGACTGCTGACTGGCCGTTTTCTCTACATAGAGTACATTTTCAGTGACATCCCTTATCTTGAAGCTTTGGCATCAGCTTTTTTGTTGTTTTTTTTTTTAATTTTATTCATTTACTCATAAGAAACACACACAGAGAGAGAGAGAGAGAGAGAGGCAGAGACACAGGCAGAAGGAGAAGCAAGCTCCCCGCAGGGAGCCCAATGTGGGACTCGATCCCAGGATCCCAGGACCACGACCTGAGCCAAAGGCAGACACCCAACCGACTGAGCCACCCAGGTGCCCTAATTTTTAAGTTAAAATCACAACTCTAATAGCAAAAATTTTTTGTTACTCCAAACAGACCAAAATAAATTTTCCATGGAAATGTTTAAAACAAGTCTGCAAATATTTAGGTATCTACATGCATCAAATAATGCAGTTGTGTTGTGGATCATAAAAAAGGCTCTATTTGGGGGGATCCCTGGGTGGCTCAGTGGTTTAGCGTCTGCCTTCAGCTCAGGGCGTGATCCTGGAGACCCAGGATGGAGTCCCACATCGGGCTCCCTGCATGTAGCCTGCTTCTCCCTCTGCCTGTGACTCTGTCTCTCTCTGTGTGTCTGTCATGAATAAATAAAATCTTAAAAAAAAAAAAAGGCTCTATTCGTATAAGTGAATAGACCCAGAGCTGTGTCTAATTGGGGCTTTCTTCTAATATTCACCTGCCATTGACTCCATGAGTCACCAAATTAGAAATAAACTTGTCCCTTTGGTACCTCATGAATTTCTTTCTTAAATATAAAATGATTTATACTGGGATGCCTGGGTGGCTCAGTGGTTGAGTGTCTGCCTTTGGCTCAAATCGTGGTCCTGGGATTGAATTCTGCATCGGGCTCCCCATGGGGAGCCTGCTTCTCCTCTGCCTGTGTCTCCGCCTCTCTCTGTGTGTTTCATGAATAAATAGATAAATAAAATCTTAATAAAATGATTTATTCTTATGACTTTCTTTAAGCTTCACTTCTAGCAGATGCCTCAGAATCAGCTTAACCCCTGGTGAGCTCCAGATCTTCATTTAATGCTGGTTCAGTTTGGGAAATTTTTTCAGTCTTTGGATGTTTCAATGTAAAACAATTATTTTTAACTTTATTTTGTAAAAATAATTATCTGAGTATTTTTCAAGTATACTGTGTTAACAAAGTACAGCACAGGGGTGTGCCTTTTTAGTGGTTGAACAGACCACTTTTACATTCCTTAGAAATAAGATATGGCTCAGAATTTTAATCATAGCAACAGTTGATAAGAAAAACAGCAAAAAAGTAATCATTTCCATATGGAAAGAAAAGAAAGAAACCAGTGAAGATGTGAACTGTCATTTTTCCATATAAAAATAAATCACCACTGGTAGATTTGGCAGAAGGGGCAAATGTTCCTATTTGTTTCCTATTTTACATTTACTAATACACTGCATGTGATGTATTTTACAGAAGTACACAATTACCCTCAAACTCAGTTGCCAATTTCCAAGTGTGTTTTGTCCTTCTGAGTGAAACTCACATCTCTATGTGTCAGTTTCATCAAGGACAATATTTCCTTGGTGATAATTTTCTCAATTTCATGAAATTCTGGTGAAAGCTCTTACCCTTTTACTGATGAGCACAGTTTCCACGCCAGCTGAATACCTATAAGTAATCTGAAAGCACTAGTTGAATAAAAAGTTTCTCTGCTCTTGCATTTCAAGATCTCAGAGAAAAACTGACCCAATTTTCTGATGCCTAGAAAATTTAAGAAAAGCAAACATTTACTTACTTTTTTTTAACTTACTTTTGTATGTAAGCATGATATACATTTTATTTATTTATTTATTTATTTATTTATTTATTTATTTATTTATTTATTTATTTATTTATTTATTTATGATAGTCACACAGAGAGAGAGAGAGAGAGAGAGAGGCAGAGGCAGAGACACAGGCAGAGGGAGAAGCAGGCCCCATGAACCGGGAGCCCGATGTGGGATTCGATCCGGGGTCTCCAGGATCGCGCCCTGGGCCAAAGGCAGGCGCCAAACCGCTGCGCCACCCAGGGATCCCATGATATACATTTATTAACAAAATCTGAGATCTCTTTTTAAATAGCTGCTTCAAGTGGAAAATCTGTTAGAGAATAAAATATTCGAGGTATTTATAAATCTAGCCTTTGACAATTGCTCCACCCTGTGGTTCAAAGCACTAACTTCAATTAAAAGCAGAACTGCAATTTCTTAGCTTCACATTGTGTGGTGAAAGTTTAGCTGTTATTTTAGTGAATCCTTTTTGGAATAAAAAAGGAAGAGTTAGAAACATGGGAACAAAACAGAATATTCCCTTTTTTTGCATACTTCCAGAGTTCCAACATCTCAGCAAAATGTTTCCAAATTTCTTTACAGGAGCACCAATTTCTTTCTTACAAATGAAAATATCAAGCAGACATTTTCATTGAAAACATGATGTTGATGTCTCTATTTAAAACGTTTTCCTCCTTTTCTGTGGTCATAGTAAGCCAAAGAAAATGGCATTTGACTTTGTTCCTTTAAGGTAGAGATACGAAAACCTTTCAGAAAAAGTACTATTAAAAATATTTTAGCCTGAAAATGACTTAAGATACTTTTTCTCCTTTGTTCAAGATTAGAGGTTGCATGGGTAGCCCTGGTGGCGCAGCGGTTTAGTGCCGCCTGCAGCCCAGGGTGTGATCCTGGAGACCCGGGATTGAGTCCCACGTCGGGCTCCCTGCATGAAGCCTGCTTCTCCCTCTGCCTGTCTCTGCCTCTCTCTCTCTGTCTCTCATGAATAAATAAATAAAATATTAAAAAAAAAGATTAAAGGTTGCAGTAACTGGCCACAACCTGTTCTAACAAAGTGAAACTGTCCAAAAAGTCCTCTTCTTCAATTCCAAATTTTGTGTACTGATGAATGTAGGCTCTGGTGAAAGAAACAGAAAATGTAAAATATAAGATTCTCAGGCAAATGAATAACTCTTAAAATCAAACAATAAATAGAACTTTCCTAGATCTGAATATTTGTTGTTTTTTTTTTTAATTTTTATTTATTTATGATAGTCACACAGAGAGAGAGAGAGGCAGAGACACAGGCAGAGGGAGAAGCAGGCTCCATGCACCGGGAGCCCAACGTGGGATTCGATCCGGGGTCTCCAGGATCGCGCCCTGGGCCAAAGGCAGGCGCCAAACCGCTGCGCCACCCAGGGATCCCAGATCCGAATATTTGAAGATGGCATACTCTCTTAAATGTTTTTTTTTTTTAAAGATTTTATTTATTTATTCATGAGAGATGCAGAGGGAGAAGCAGGCTCCCTGCAGGGAGCCCGATGTGGGACTCCATCCCGGGTCTCCAGGATCACGCCCTGGGCCGAAGGCGCTAAACTGCTGAGCCACCCAGGGATCCCCATCTTAAATGTTTTATATTTGCTTTAATGTTTATTCCAAAGAGTCACAAACTGAAAGTTTATGTCAAGCTCCCTGTCTTTTTTAGTGTCCAAGAGAGTGACAGTAAGAAGCACATGGGAAGGGGCACCTGTGGCTCAGTGGTTGAGCATCTGCCTTTGGCTCAAGTTGTGATCCCAGGATCCTGGGATCGACTCCTGCATCAGGATCCCTGTGAGGAGCCTGCTTCTCCTTCTGCCTAAGTCTCTGCCTCTCTCTCTTTGTCTCTCGTGAATAAATAAATAAATAAAATCTTAAAAAAAAAAAAAAAAAGCAGCACACAGGAAAAAAAAAGCACATTCAGATTTGGTTATCAAACCCAGCACACATTCAACACTCTACAGAGATGACTGGGATCAATATAAACTCTTAAAAAGTACCCAAGAAATTTTACCCAAGCCTTGAAACTGCAGAAACACATTCATCCAGTTCTAGGAATGAAGTGAAGTCTCTCAAGGATTTTACTTAATTTGCAGTTATGCTAGGTAGCCCTTTTAATACCCTGTACCCCCAAAATGTTCTGAGGAAGGAAAAATCATATTAAAAAGAATATCAAGGGCAGACATGGATTAAATTGAGGTAAGAAGGCCTGCTGCCATTTAATGGGAGTGGGAAGAGAACGATACTAGGAAAGGGCAGTCCTGGGAGTGTGGGCTTATGGAATGGCCATGTGCAGGATGCGGGGCCTTTGGGAATCCTGGCTAATCATAGAGGCCTTGCCCATTGATATGAGGAATTTTCCTTTGACATTAAGTAATCGTGGCCAAGGTCAGAAAATCTGATAACACATTTCTTAGTACCAAGTAGACATTTCTTAAAAGCAGATGGAGTTGAACTCACAATATTTCTTGCTGAACAAGATCAGGATCTCTTCCATTCTTCCAAGGATCTTATTTTAGAAAACTATTTTATTGTCCAGCCTTGTAATGAAATTTCTACTTTCATTTCATTCAGAAACAAATCCTCTAGTCAATTAACAGCACTGTAGTAAGTAATTTTACATGATTATCTCATTTAATCATCATTGCATATCCTCAGTGTAAACCCACTGTGCAGATAAAAAAATGACACCTGAAGTAACATGACCCAGTTTCACACCTATATAGTGGTAGCCACGATTATTCCAGGCTGCAGGTTGAATGTGTTCCCCCAAAATTCATACATTTAAATCCTAACCCCCAAAGTGATATTAGGAAGTAAGGCCTTTGGAAGGTGATTCGGTCATGAGGGTGGAGCCCTCATGAATAGGTTTAGTGCCCCTTTAAAAGAGGTTCTTTGCCCATTTGGCCATTTGAAGGCACAAGGAAAAGACACCGCCTATGAACCAGGAAGTAGGTTTTCATCAGACATGGAATCTGCCAGCACCTTCATCTTGGACTTCCTAGTTTCCAGAATTCCTGAGAAATAAATTTCTGTTGTTTATAAGATACTCGGTCTGGGCTATTTTTGTTATAGCAAACCAAACAGACCAAGACATTCCAGATCCTGCCTTGTATTTTAAGATATTATCTGCCTAAGGTTAGAAAGGTTTTTAGATTTTTTTTACTTACTTTGAAGCAAACATATTCCAGGCTTTGCCCACAATTGTATCAAGTGGTTTTAGTAAGAACTGGCTATTGCTGACCAATGCTGCAGACTTCTCATATTTGCTAAAGGCTCGCTGGGTTTTCCACACATTGAAAGCATCAATAGGCTCCAACCAAGAAGTATAGAGAGCTGGATCTTTAAATCCTCCTAGAGTAAGACAACATAAGCCATTGTTTATATCATAAATAATTAATTTTGGAAACAAATTAATAAACAGGTATTTTTTTATTCATTTCACCAGAAATCTCCTTTAAAAATATTTTATTTATTCATGAGAGACATAGAGAGAGAGGCAGATATATAGGCAGAGAGAGAAGCAGGCTCCATGCAGGGAGCCCGATGTGGGACTCGATCCCTGGACTCCAGGATCATGCCATTAGCCGAAAGCAGATGCTCAACCGCTGAGCCATCCAGGCGTCCCAGAAATCTCCTTTTGTTTTGCCTTTTAAAATTAGCTTTATATAGTTTTTGGATAGATTCATACTCATTTTAAGAAAAAAAACAATTTGGGGATCCCTGGGTAGCTCAGCGGTTTAGTGCCTGCCTTTGGTCCAGGGCATGATCCTGGAGTCCTGGGATCAAGTCCCACACCGGGCTCCCTGCATGAAGCCTGCTTCTCCCTCTGCCTGTGTCTCTGCCTCTCTCTTTCTCTGTCTCTCATGAATAAATAAAATCTTTTAAAAAAAGGAAAAGAGAGAAAACAATTCATATCATTCATAAAAGTATTAAGAAGAAAATTTAATGGATGAAAGACCCAAATGTGAAAAAGAAAACCTTCAAAATTCAAGAGGAGAACACAGGCAACAACTTCTTTGACCTCAGCTATAACAACTTCTTACTAGATACGTCTTTAAAGGCAAGGGACACAAAAGCAAGAAATGAACTATTTGGACTTTATCAAGATAAAAATTCTACACAGCAAAAGAAACAACAAAACTGAAAGGCAACCTTCAGAATGAGAGAAGATATTTGTAAATGACATATCTGATAAAGGGTTAGCATCCAAAATGTATGAAGAACTAATCAAACTCAACACCCAAGAAACAAATAATCCAGTTAAAAATGGGCAGGAGATGTGAATAGATATTTTTCCAAAAAAAGACATCCCGATGGCCAACAGGCACATGAAAAGATGCTCAACATCACTCATCATCGGGGAAATAGGAATCAAAACTACAATGAAATACTACCTCACATCAGTCAGAATGGCTAATATCAACAACACAAAGAACAGCAGATGTTGGTGAGGATGTGAGGAAAGGGGAACCGTCTTAGACTGCTGGTGGGAGTGCAATTGGTGCAGCCACTGTGGAAAACAGTTTCTTCAAAAAGTCAAAAATCAAACTACTCTACAACCCAGCAATTGCGCTATTAGGTATTTGCCCATGGATACTGATTCAAAGGGATACATGCACCTTGATATTTATAGCTGCATTATCAACACTAGCCAAATTATGGAAAGAGACCAAATGGCCATCAATGTGAATGGATAAAGAAGTTGTGGTATACAGGGGTGTCTGTGTGGTTCAGTTGGTTGAGTGTCCAACTCTTGATTTCCACACAGGTCATGATCCCTGGGTCCTGGAACGAGCCCTGTATTGGGCTCCCTGCTCAGTGGGGAGAGTGCTTCAGGATTTTTTTCTCTCCCTATGCCCCTCCCCAAGCTTATGCTTTCACTCTCTCTCTCTGAAATAAATAAAATCTTAAAAAAAAAGAGAGAGAGAGAAAAAAAAAGAGAGAAGTTGTGTTATTCATATATGATGGAACATAACTTAGTCATGAAACAGAATTGGCATTGATGTGGATTTCACTTAGCATAAGCGAAGTCACCGAGAGAAAGACAAATAGCCTATGATTTTACTCTTATATGGAATCTAAGAAACAAAATGGACAAACACAGGAGGAAAAAGAAAGAAGTAAACCATAAAACAGACGTAACTACAGAGAACAAACTGTTGCTGGAGGGGAGGTGGGTGAGGGGATGGGTTCAATGGGTATTAAGTGATGATGGGTATTAAGGAGGGTACTTGTGAGGAGCACTGGGCCTTGTACGTAAGTGATGAATCACTAAATCCTACACATGAAACTAGTACTACACTATATGTTAACTAACCAGAATTTTTTTTTCAGATTTTATTTATTTATTCATGATAGACATAGAGAGAGAGAGGGGCAGACACACAGGCAGAGGGAGAAGCAGGCTCCATGCCAGGAGCCCGACGTGGGACTCGATCCGGTGACTCCAGGATTGTGCCCCAGGCCAAAGGCAGGCACTAAATCACTGAGCCACCCAGGGATCCCACTAACCAGAATTTAAATAAAAACTTAAAACAAAAAAAGAAGAAAATTTAAAAGTCAACTGAACATCTGAAATGTCACCACCCATAGAAGACCATGAACATTTTGCTGACCCTCTTGTGTATGTAATTTTATACAAACACTGTTCTGTAATTTGCATTTTCATTCACCAATATGTTGTGAATCTCTTTTCCATGTCAATAAGTATCACTCATATTTAAAGTTTTATTACATGAATATACTATAATTTATCACATTTCCTACTATTGAGCATTTAGGTTGTTTCTGCATTTTTGTGTGTAAGACATTGCAGTGAATATCTTTGTAAGAATACCTCTTTGTACCTGTGTCATTTTCTGGGAGTAAATTTTTGGAAGTTTGATTACTTTATATATTCTCTTATTATTTCTCTTAATTTAAAATCTAAAATGAAGAATATGAAAAAAATATTCTGAAGAAGGAAAAACTATACCAATTAACACACTTGAAATTATCTCCTTTTTTTTTTTTCAGCCAAAAGGTCTCACATTTATTACTGAAGCAACCCACTGGAGTAGAGGCATAGTAACAAGAAAAAATCATTTCCCTGATAAAACATGTCTATTGGCTAGGTAGGAGGGATGATTACAAAGTGATAAGATAGGAACATGTGATCTTCATGCAGCTTAAATATGTGTGCCATCTCATAATGTGAAATGCCTTATAGACCCAGCTTGGTTCTTCTCTAGTGACTGACTCCTCCTGGAGTTATACCTGATTTTTTTTTAAGATTTTATTTATTTATGGGTAGCCCAGGTGGCTCAGCGGTTTAGAGCCTGCTTTTGGCCCAGGGTGTGATCCTGGATACCCAGGATCGAGTCCTACATCGAGCTCCCTGCATGGAGCCTCTGCCTGTGACTCTGCCTCTCTCTCTCTCTGTGTCTGTCATGAATAAATAAAATCTTTAAAAAAAAAGATTTTATTTATTTATTCATAAGTAAATGAGCACGCTGTGCTCAGTGTGGAGTCTGCTTGAGATTCTGTCCCTCTGCCTCTCCCTGACACTTGCATGGGCACTCTCTCTCTCAAATAGATAAATAAATCTCTAAAAAAAGAAAGAAAATCATCAAATAAAGATAAGGCAAGCCTGCAGATCTGCCATAGAAACGCAAAGCTGATAAAAGTTCTGTTCTTTGAACTTCCTGAAAATTTTTATAACAAAGTGCTGTCACAGAGATCACTAGTTGTGCTACATTACCTGTTCTCCCCTTCTTTAGTGACAAAACCCTCAAATTTTAATTGTGGTCATGGCCACCCCTGCAGCTAGGTGTAGCACATGAGTCGGTCCCAATCAAAGGTATATAAACACTAGTGTGGTGTGCAACCCTAGCAGGAGGTGGGCAGCATGCCCTCTTTTGCTCATTCCTATATGATTTGATAGCTAAAGCTCAAACAGATGTCTTGGATTATAAGGAGGAAGCCATAAGGCCAGTACAGTAAGAACAGTAAGGTTTAGAAAAAAGAATTAAACTCCTATCTTTTTTCAATCACATCTGGTTTTGGTGTCCAGTCACATACCAATATAATGGTTATATTTTGCCACTAAAACACATAATTATTATTTTCCTTTCTTTAAAAATAAATTTAGGGGATGCCTGGGTGACAGTGGGTTAAGCGTCTGCCTTTGGCTCAGGTCATGATCCCAGGGTCTCTGCAGGGAGCCTGCTTCTCCCTCTCTCTCTTTCTGTCAAATAAATAAATAAAATCTTTAAAAAAATAAATTCAGAGACTTCCTTTTTTTTTTTTTTTTAAAGACTTTATTTATTCATGAGAGACAGACAGAGAAAGGCAGAGACATAGGCAGAGGGAAAAGCAGGCTCCATGCAGGGAGCTCGATGTGGGACTTAATCCTGGAACTCCAGGATCATGCCCTGGCCCTGAGCTGAATGCAGACACTCAACCACTAAGCCACCCAGGCATCCCTGGAGACTTCCTTTTTTTAAAAAAAGAAATGTTACCTGTACATGTACAAAATGTATATATTAATTTCATCTTAATTTCTGCTTACCCAGATCCGCACTGTGTACATCTTTCCCACGAAGGATCACCAAGTTAGCAATGGAAGTGTTAAAATGAAGCTCCCTGTTGAGAGACACTTTACCAAGAGTAGGAAGTCCTGGTAAAGGAGGCCGTACCTGCCAATTAATACCTGCCAAAGGAAAAAAAAAAAGCAATAGGCTTTATAAATAGCTCTGAGCAAGAAGAGAAAAATATATTATAGTATGTTTATTTTACATAAATTTTTATTTAGTAAGTAAAAGTTGCTTTTTTCTACTAAATGTTTAAAAATTCTTATCTGGTTTACCTGAAATGATTCCAACTATCCAGTCCTGAGAAAGGCATAAATTATTCTTTGTAGAGTATTAAATGACGGTGATAGATACATACAATGGAATTCTCTTCACCAAAAAAACAGAAATTACTGATAAATGTAACAAACAACATGGATAAATCTCAAAAGTGTTATGCTAAGTGAAACAAGCTTGACTCAAAAAATTATGTATCATATGATTCCATTTATAGGACATTCCAGAAAAGGCAAAACCGTAAGAAAAAAATTCAGATCAGTAGTTCCTGGGGGCTGCAGTTGAGGGGAAAAGAGTGCCTACAGATGAGTATGAATGATGATCCTCCATCATTTTGGGTTGATGGAAATCCTCTATCTCAATTGTAATGGAGGTTACACATTATAGAAGTTTGCTAAAATTCATAGAACCATACACCTAAAAAGGGTGAACCTTACTCTATATGCCTGTGCAAACAAACAGGACACATACAAAAATGTTAGGGATGTACAAACACAAAGCAAAAAGTTTGAAAACTGACCAGTCATATGGAAATATGAAGAAAATCCTCTTAAAGTATATGTCAGATAGGGATAAAATTCAGCACAGAGTAACAGACTGATTTTCAGCAAAAATAGAAACACAAGAAACCAAAAATGTTTGCATGCTGAATTCAATAATAAGACAAGCCAATTTAAAAGTCAAAAAAGATGTTTGAATGGAAATTTTACTGAAAAAAGATAAATAAATCCAACAAGCACATGAAAAGATGCTCAACATCTTTTGCATTAGGAAAATGCAAACTGAAACCACAAGGAGACACTACTTCACACCCATCAGAAAGGCTATAATCAAGAAGACTAACAATGTCAGGTGTTAGCACAGATGTGGTGAAGCTGAAACCCTCTTAAACTATGAGAATATAAAATATTGCAGCCACTTTGGAAGGAGTATAGCAGTTCTACAAAATGATAAACACAGACTCATCCTTTGACCCACCATTACCACTTATAGGTGTATAACCAATAGACTGAAAACGTATGTCCACACAAAGACTGAATACAATGTACACAGCAGCAGTATTCATAATAGACACAAAGTGAAAACAAGCTAAATGTCCACCAGCTGTTGGACATCTGAACAAAATGTGGTAGGGCCACATAATGAAATACTACTACTCAGCAATACAAAAGAATGAACTACTGATACATCCTATGACATGGATGAATTTCAAAGACATTAAGTGAAAAAAGGTCAGACACAAAAGACTGTATGTTGTATCATTCAATTTACATATGTCCAAAATAGGAAAATCTATAGAAAAAGAAAACATACAAGTGGTTGTATGACACTAGGAATAAAAAATGGGAATTGCCTTAAAATGAACACAAGGATCTTTTTGAAGTGATGGACATGTTCTACAATTAGCTTATGATAACAGTTGTATAACTATGAAAATTTACTAAAAAATCACTAGATTGTACTCTTATCATAGGTGAAGGCTATGGTATATAAATCACCCAGCAATAAAAATTTTCAATATTTATGATATGCTGTAAAAGCAATAATTGTTAGATAATTCATCACTCTATATTAGAAATAAAAGGTAATCAACTCTATCCAAAAATTCAAAAATAAATAAATAAGTAAATAAATAAATAAGTAAATAAATAAATAAAAGGGTTTTTTTTTTTTTAAGATTTTATTTATTTATTCCCTCCATGCAGGGAGCCCGACGTGGGATTCGATCCCCAGACTCCAGGATCACACCTTGGGCCAAAGGCAGGCTCTCAATCACTAAGCCACACAGGCGTCCCACAAGTAAAATTTAAAATGAGAAGAGAAGTAACAAAAAGTAACAAAAAAGACAGTATAAGAAATAAAAACAAATCCTGGGACATCTGAGTGGCTCAGTCAGTTAAGCATCTGCCTTTGGCTCCACATTGGGCTCCCTGCTCCTCAGGGAGCCTGCTTCTCCCTCTCCCTCTGCCTGCTCCTCACTCTGATTGTGCTCTCTCTCTGCCAATAAATAAATAAAATCTTTAAAAAATAAAAATAAAAACAAATTCCAGATTGGTTAAAACTTAAATATTAAACATAAGGCTGTAAAAAATACTGGGGAATACTAAAGAATATTTTATATCTGAGGCAAGGCTCAGAATCTATAAAATAAGAAGATATATGGGTTTGCTCACATAAAAATGGAAAACCTCCATATGGAAAAATACCATACAAAAGACAAAAATGATGGACAAAAATATTTGCAATCTATGTAACAAAAATGGTATATAAATCCATAACATTGTATTTGCTTCCAAGACACCACTGATTATAAGAAAAAAATGTTGTCAAATTATGTCAATTAAATGATTCACTTAGATCATTCCATTTCATTCTTATTGAAAGAGTTCTTTTAGAGTAAATTAGGTTTAGATTTTTAAAAATCCTATCACTCTTGAGCATCCATAAAAAACACATATAACAAAATAAATTGGTTAAGGTTTTCCAAAAATGTTTTCACATTTAGTGACTTAATTACTTTTTGACTCAGCATTAATGATGCCAATTTTTTTTTTCACACATTATTATCCTCTGTCTCTCCAGAGCATTGGTGACATAGTGGGTTTTTTTTTTTTTTAAGATTTTATTTATTTATTCAGAGACACAGAATGAGAGGCAGAGACATAGGCAGAGGGAGAAGCAGGCTCCTTGTGGGGACCCCGATGTGGTACTTGATCCCTGGGCCCTCGGATCACGCCCTGAGCCAAAGGCAGACACTCAACCACTGAGCCAGGTATCCCAGTGATGTAGCATTCTTTAAGGGAATCCATGGAAACAGTAAGTTGTTGGCTCTTATACTAGCTTTGCTATCAGGTAGAGAACCATCAACGTTTGACTCCTGATTAAGGAATGTGCCTTTTTAGGATGACTGCCTCTTCACTACTCTAGTATAAAACTAAAGATTTATTTTCTGGAGAGGAGATTGAGGGTCTCTGGTCTGGAGAACCAAGGCAGAGTTAAGGATAAGGTACATACTGAAACCAGAGAGATCTACTAAAACCCATAAAAACCCCTCTTCTTTCACCAGATCACTTGGGCTTTGCCTAAACCTTCACAGCAGAATACCCAACCCAGGAGACAGGCAAAGAGAATATCCAGGATTGCAAATGTACCTTGGTTGTAGAGGGCAAAAAGTCTCGATTGAAGTAGGGCAGATGGCTTTAGGAGAGCTTGCTTGCTTGCTATTTTTTATTTTTATTATTTAAGATTTTTTAAAAAGATTTATTTATTTATGATAGACATAGAGAGAGAGAAAGAGAGGCAGAGACACAGGAGGAGGGAGAAGCAGGCTCCACGCCGGGAGCCCAACACGGGACTCGATCCCGGGACTCCAGGATCGCGCCCTTGGGCCAAAGGCAGGCGCCAAACTGCTGAGCCACCCAGGGATCCCCTTTTTTTTTTTTAGATTTTATTTATTTATTCATGAGAGACACACAGAGAGAGGCAGAGACACAGGCAGAGGGAGAAGCAGGCTCCATGCAGGGAGCTGGATGCAGGACTCAATCCCGGGATTCCAGGATCACACCTTGGGCCAAAGGCAGGCTCTCAACCGCTGAGCCACCCAGCCTCTCATCCTCTCTTTCTTTTTTAAAAAGATGTATTTATTTATTTTGAGAGAGAGAGCGTGCATGAGTGGGGGTGGGAGGGGCAGAGAGAGAATCTCAAGCAGACTCCCCGCTGTGCATGGAGCTCAACATGGGCCTCAGTCTCAGAACCCCGTGATCATGACCTGAGCCAAAATCAAGAGTCAGATGCTTAACTGACTGAGCCACCGAGGTGTTCCAAGTAGGCAACTCTTGATCTTGGGGTTGTGATATCAAGCCCCACATTGTGGGTAGAGAAAGAGAGAGAAAAAGAGAAGAAGGAAGGAAAAAAGGAAAGAAGGAAGGAAGGAAGGAAAGAAGGAAGGAAGGAAGGAAGGAAGGAAGGAAGGAAGGAAGGAAGGAAGGAAGGAAATAAATAAATTATAATGTAGCTTGGTTCAGAGAGCCAAGCCTAAAGTCATGAAAAATTATTCACAGGCCTCACACTGTAATCAAGAAACTGCCAGGATGTGCCCTGCTGAATTGTTAAGGGCCAATGACTCCTATGTGTCTTCCATTTCCCCCTTTTTAAGGAGGCTATCTACCAGTTATGCTATGCCTATCTAACCATTGTCTATTGATCAGGGGCAGGAGGAGGGTGTGAGGAACTGTACTCAAAGAACTATACTCAAACAAAAACAAAAAAATCGGGCATCCCTGGGTGGCTCAGTGGTTTGGCGCCTGCCTTCGGCCCAGAGCGTGATCCTGGAGTCCCGGGATCGAGTCCCACATCGGGCTCCCTGCATGGAGCCTGCTTCTCCCTCTGCCTGTGTCTCTGCCTCTCTCTGTCTCTGTATCTCTCATGAATAAATAAATGAAATCTTAAAAAAAAAAAATCCCCCCAAAACAAAGAGCTATACAAAAAAAAAAAAAAAAAAAGTCTCACCTGAGGAATGTAAATCTGTACCTGGACCTGGTTTTAGATGACAAGATTCTGGAATTTAACCTGATGTGCTAAAGGGCTTTGGGAGAGGTTAAGCCCATTCTGCATATGGGAAGACATGATTCAGTAGGAGGCAGAGGGTGGATAGTGGTAGCCAGCCTCCAAGATGAACTCCAATGATCCTTCCCTCCTGGTATACGACCCTTATGTGGTCTCTTCCCACATGGCATAGTGCTTAACAACCTTAACAACCTAAAGGATGACGCAGAAATGACGGCACGTGGGGATCCTAGCTGGCTCAGTTGGTGCAGCATGTGACTCTTGATCTCAGGGTCACTGAGTTTGAACCCCACATTGGGTGTAAAGATTACTTAAATAAAATTAAAACTAAAAAAAAAAAAAGAAAACAATGGTGTGTGACTTCCAAAGGTAGGTCACAAAAGACATGGTAAGTTCTCCTAGTTCCCTCTGGGAACATTCATTCCTTTCATTGCCAGGACATGTGGAAACAGATACATACCTGGCTGATGGTGATATTAATAGGGTCAATCTTCATAAGGAGCAGCCTAATATATGAGCATTTTTTTTAAAGATTGATTGATTGATTGATTGATGATAGACATAGAAAGAGAGAGAGGCAGAGACACAGGAGGAGGGAGAAGCAGGCTCCATGCAGGTAGCTCGACGTGGGACTCGATCCCAGGACTCCGGGATAGCGCCCCAGGCCAAAGGCAGGCGCTAAACTGCTGAGCCACCCAGGGATCCCCTATATGAGCATTTTTAAAGCTATTTGCCTCAACCTGGTTCATGACATAAATATATTTATTCATATATACTCAAATATATGAAAATACTTATATGTTCAAAGCTATATCTATAACTGTGAAAACATGTTGACATTCAAAGTCCTGCATGGGAAAATGACTAAGCGAACTATGGTTTATTGACCTAAGAGAGCTCAGAGCAGCTTGTCTTATACTATACCTGAGGAACACTGTGCTCCTTGAGATGTTAACAGGTATTACTAGAAAAACAGGTACCAAGGCCAAAAAATTTGGTAAGCATTCCTTTAAGATGTAACCTTTCTATTTCTCTCCAAACCTCAAACAACTATAATCTAGTGATAAAGTATATGACTAGTATGTAAAACAGAAGAAATCCATCCACTTTCATAGTATTGAAACCTAAGTTATTGTTATTTGTGGTAAAATATATGCTACTAAAAAAATCACTGGTAGTAGTGATTTCCATCCAGTTAAACATGACAGACTGAACATACCAGTCTACTATCACTCTCTCCTCAAATCAAACAGGGACTTTTTTTTTTAAGATTTTATTTATTTATTTATTTATTTATTTATTTATTTATTTATTTATTTATTTATGAGAGAGAGAGAGAGAGAGAGAGAGAGAGAGAGAGAGACCGCACACACAGACACATAGCCAGTGGAGCAGCAGGGACAGGAAGAAGCAGACTGCTCGCTGAGCAGGGAGCCCAATGTGAGGCTCGATCTCAGGACCCTGAGATCAAGATCTGAGCCGAAGGCAGAAGAAAACTGACTGAGCTACCCAGGCGCACCTTACAGGGACATTTTTAAAAGGCATAAACAAAAGAACAAGGAGGGGAAGAGAAGATAATGGGAACAACATTTTGGAAGCTGGAAAGCAAATGAATTAGTGGTGACTTCAGGGAAAGCTGAAACTTCTGCCCACAGTAAGGTCCTGAAAGCAGGCCAGGTACTTCTAAAAGAGGGGGAAATGAGAGGATTAAAGATCTACATGCCAAGTGGTGAAAGCCTTAGACGCTTCCTCTCTCCCGGCAGCAGAGTACGTGCCCCCTCCACCCCCCCACTCCTTCCTAGAAGCTGTCGCTCCAGGAAGGCTAAACCAGTGAGGTTCTGGCCTCCACCAAACTAAGTGCTGGGCCCTGCCTTCCAGGCTCTGAAGATAGAGCAGTAAACAAAACAGACAGAAATCCCTGCCCTCCTAAAGCTTACATTATACTGAGATCAATGGAAGATCCACAGTGAGGAATTCCAGAATGTTAGATACAAGAGGAAATCCTAAAAGATTTAAGAGAGAACGAAACAGGATTAGGAATCAGACTGACATGGGACTTCACAGCAACATTGGAAGCTGGAAGAGAACAGAACAATGCTTTCAAAATTCTGAGCAAAAATGACAAATAATGGCTAGAATATATATATATATATATATATATATATATATATATATATATATATATATATATTCTATATATATATATCCTGGGTCTCCAGGATCATACCCTGGGTTGTAGGTGGCGCTAAACCGCTGCGCCACCGGGGCTGCCCAAGTAAAACCTTTAAAAAGGAAAAGAAGGGACGCCTGGGTAGCTCAGCGGTTGAGCCTCTACCTTCGGCCCAGGGCATGATCCCAGGGTCCTGGGATCGAGTCCCATATCGGGCTCCCTGCATGGAGCCTGCTTCTCCCTCTGCCTGTGTCTCTGCCTCTCCTCCGGGTCTCTCATGAATAAATAAATAAAATCTTAAAAAAAATAAAGAAAAAAAAAAGAAAAAAAAAGAAAAAGAAGATGAGGTCTCCTAAAGGGATATTTCCAAACAGGTAATGAATCTGGCTCAGTTGTAAATAATATTTACCTATCAAAAGTAATATAAGCACTGAAAATTAACCTAATTCAAAAGTATGTTATAACCATATGGTAGGAAGTGGGGAGGGAGGGAGGGAGGGAGGGAGGGAGGGAGGGAGGGAGAGAGAGTGTGTGTGTGTGTACAGAGTAAGTATAAAATTCAATTCTCAATTTCATATTAGGAAGGCAATTGATGGGGATACTTGGGTGGCTCAGTGGTTGAGCATCTGCCTTTAGCCCAAGGTGTGATCCTGGAGTCCCGGGATCGAGTCCCACATCAGGCTCCCTGCATGGAACCCGCTTCTCTCTCTGCCTGAGTTTCTGCCTCTCTCTGTGTGTGTCTCTCATGAATAAATAGATAGAATCTTAAAAAAAAAAGGAAGGCAACTGATAATATCTAAACCTGAAAGGATGGCTGGGTGGCTTAGTAGTTGGGTATCTTCCTTCGGCTCAGAGCATGATCCCAGGGTCCTGGGATCAAATCCTGTATCAGGCTCCCCAGAGGGAGCCTGCATCTCCCTCTGCTCATGTCTCTGCCTCTCTGTGTCTCTCATGAATAAATAGTTTTTAAAAAATAAAAAATAAATAAACCGGAAAATAAGTAACAGCATAAGCAAGATACTTAGAAATATGGAAAGCAGTTTCATCTGGGCAGTGGGGAAGTATAAGACAGGGAACTGCTCTTTTCCTCATTATAAATTCATATTGGACAATTACTTGGCTTTTTAAAAAAAATGAGATATAATTTATATTCAATGCAATGTATGGTTATAAGGATACACTTGATGAGTTTTGACTATTTGATTTTTTAAAAGGTATGTTCATGTATTACTTTGATAAAAATAAAATAAATAAAATAGGGGCAGCTGGCTTGCGACTCGTGATCTCGGGGTAGTGAGCTTGAGCCTCATGTTGGGTGTAGAGATTACTAAAAATAAACAAACAAACAAACTTTAAAAAAAATGTCATGCTCCTCTGAATTTTTTTCACTTTGGGAAATGAAACTGTAAAGTGATTAAGAAGCCCTCCTGGGATGTCTTAGTGGGTTTTTGTAGGAGCTTCTCTGACCAGAAGAAGGCACCATTATTTCGACTGGCCCAAGCAAGTTTATACTGAGAATTCCAGTACAGGCACCTTTCCCAGGTTGTGGCTTGCATATTTTTAAAATACCCCTTACCTTCTTCCATTTTTGAATTAGAAATGAGCATCTGTCTCAGATGTTTGAGGAGGCCAGCCCAAGTAAACGTGCTGTATGTCAGTGAGTTCTCAGACATTTGAGGAATGTTACGAATACCCAGCATCTTGAATTCAGGATGGGGAACTAAATTCTCCATTAAGTCTCCTGTAAAGAAAAAAATCTGAACTAAACTTTTAAAAAATATATATTTTTAAAAAGATTTTATTTATTTGACACAGAGAGAAAAAGCACACAAGCAGGAAGAGAGGCAGAGGGAGAAGCAGGCTCCCTGCTGAGCAGAGAATCCTAAGCAGGGCTCAATCCCAGGACCCCGAGATCATGACCTGAGCCAAAGACAGACCCCTTAACCGACTGAGCCACCCTGAACTAGACTTAAATTCCATGTTTCCATTAGCTCATATACAACTATGGTTTGATGGTTTGGGGGCCAAACATATTTTCTCCTCCAAGGCCAAATTGCTTAAAATAAAAAATGTAAATAAAAATTTGGAAACAATGTCTATGTCAGATCACATATTTTGGCCCCTATTTTAGCATGAGTGAAAAAAGACAGTTTGCCAAAAAGGAAACAAGAATTTAGAAACTAAGAAACTGGAAACATGAATAAAATATTTAGCTACACTTCAGGAAAACAGAGTAAGCATGAGAGCTAATATGCTTTTATCATCATTCTATAGTCACTAAATATTCCTTTTTTTTTTAAGATTTATTTATTTATTCATTCAGAGAGAGCGAAGAGAGAGGCAGAGACACAGGCAGAGGGAGAAACAGGCTCCATGCAGGAAGCCCGATGTGGGACTCGATCCTGGGTCTCCAGGATCACACCCCAGGCTGCAGGCGGCGCTAAACCACTGAGCCACGGGGGCTGCCCAGTCACTAAATATCCCTTTAGAAATTTTCCTAGGGGCGCATGGGTGGCTCAGCTGGTTAAACATCTGCCTTCAGCTCAGGTCACAATCCCAGAGTCCTAGGACTGAGCCCCACATTGAGCTCCCTGCTCCACGGAGTCTCCCTCTGCCTCTTCCCTTGCTCGTGCTTGATCTCTCTCAAATAAGTAAATAAAATATTTTTTTTTAAGAAATTTTCCTAGCTCTCTTATTTTATCTAGTTAAATGATAATTAGAATCTTTTAAATCAAATGCTACTAGGGAAAAAGACAAGATTAGTGATTCCTGAAGACAAGAATATGCCTATCTTTAGAAACTTATATTTGTAATGAAACAGGATTATGGAGAAAGGCTAATTTGTTCTGCACTCAGAGCTGTTTTATATATTCATAGAAAAAAACTAGAGGTGAGAGAAAAATATATTACTATAACAACATGAAATGTAAATTTTATAACAGTACAAACTCATATCCTATATCCTAAGGAAAAGCAGATTTTGACACAAACATCTACAAAGTGCTGCACAAATTGATCTTATGGCTAATGGAGTTTCCTCTAAACATAAGAGTTTTTTTTTGTAAAATACCTAGAGTTGAATTTATTGCATAGCACAAATAAATAACAGTCAACAAACATAGCCTGAGTACAAATACATGAATTATTAACTGTCATAATCTGCTTTTATCTCTAGCCTTCTTGTTCACCTACTCTCATTTTAACCATTCTGGGACCTTGTTGAGATCCTGTTATGGACTAAAGGTTTGTTCCCCCCTCAAATTCATATATGCAAATCCTAACCCCTGAGGTGATGGTATGGTAAGGGTGGAGCCCTCATAAATGGGATTAGTGCCTTTATAAAAGGGGCCCTACAGAGCTCTCTAGCTCTTCCTACCATGTGAGGACGCAATGAGAAGATGGTCATCTGAGAACCAGGAAACAGGCCCTTACCAGACTACTACCAGTGCCTTGATCTTAGACTTTCCAGCCTCCAGAACCATGAGAAATAAATTTATATGTTTATATAAGTCACCTAGTATATAGCACTTTGGTGACAGCAGACACTTTTTTATATATGTTTATATAAGTCACCTAGTATATAGCACTTTGGTGACAGCAGCTTAAATGGACTAAGACAAACTAATCCATGGACCTCCTGACTTCTCAGTCCATTAGTATTCCCCTTGCTTCACTTCTCTTCTTACCCAGTTACCTGCCCTTGTCTCTTCATCAAATCTTTCTAGTGAAAATCCAATCTTGGATCAGCCCTACTCCTCACATTCTCTGTGCCTGTTAAAGTACAGCTGTAGAAAGTCACCCCATATCACAGATTGGACCACTCAGAATTTAGATGTCAAACACCGATGCCCACCAATGCTGATGCTTTGTGGTAAAGGTGCCATCTCCTCAAACACCTGAGTGGAGCCATGTGGATATCTTGGGTCACTCGGGGCAGAGACTCTGGAGCACAACAGACATATCTGAGAAACACCATGGAGGCCAATGTGGCGGGAAGAGAGTGAGTAACAGGATATAAAATCAAGAAAGCAGTGGGAAGCCAGGCAAAGCAGTCTTACATGTGATTCCAAGAATACTGGCTTTAACTCTGGGTAAGATGGGAAACCTCTTAAAGGTTTTTTTTTTTAATAGATTTTATTTATTTATTCATGAGAGAGACAGAGAGAGGCAGAGACACAGGCAGAGGGAGAAGCAGGCTTCATGCAGGAAACCTGACGTGGGACTCGATCCTGGGTCTCCAGGATCACGCCCTGGGCTGAAAGCAGCGCTAAACCACTGAGCCACCCGGGCTGCCCCTCTTAAAGGTTTTGAGTAGGAGAATAACAGGATCCAATAGGATTTAACCTTTTAGACAAGTAAAGTCAGAGTTCAGTCTGGTCATTATACTTAAGAAAAGGCCATCCCACAGGATGGCAAAGGTTGAAGTGGGAAGACCAGGTAAGCTATCCTCCAGCTAACTTCTCATATGACATTTCCATTTAGATATGGCAAAGGCACTTCACACTCAAGATGTCTAAGACCCACCGCTTTCCCTACCCTGTACTGTGCTCCACAAACCAGATCCTTTTTCACTGTTCCCAACTCTAGTAAATAGGGTCTAGTGAACAATCTACACTGTTATGTAAACCAGGGCCCCTTGAATTATGCTCTGTACCACCCTTTCTGTTATTTTTCAGATCTAATCCATCACCTAGATCTTTGCATTTTACCCCACCCCCAATCTCTCCCAAATCCATCCTCTTTAGCTCTATTTGTTTAGTCCCACTTAGCAAGGACTGATTATATGAGAGGTACTGTTCTGAGGACAAGGGACATAGTGATGAGCAAGGCTGACAAGGCCTTGCCATCAGAGAGCCTGTATTCTAGTAGTTAGAAAAAAAGAATAAAAATGGTAATAAATGAACAGAAGATATCAGAGAATAATAAAAGCTGGGAAGGAAACAAACGAGATGATATTATAGACACTCATCATGAAAAGCCATATTAAGGAACTCACAGCGACCTGAGACTGGAAAAATGGAAGGGAAGTAGCTTTGAAAACATTCCCGGTCAAAGGAGCAGGAAGTTGATGGGGACTGCAAGAACAGACACCCTGGTGAGAATGAGCTGGGCTGTAGGACAAGTAATGAGGCTCCTGAGGCTGTGCTGGTGAATGAGGGAGAATGACAAGAGAGAAGGGAATCTAGAAGACAGAAGATGAACCACATACAACTGAGGCAATGGTAGACTTTACTGCAAGAAATCTGGACCTAAGATTTAAGAATCCCCCCCCCCCCCGCCGGAGGCTTCTTAGAGCCCTGGATCTAAGGTTTTAAAACTGAGCAACTGAGGGAGTGAAAAAGAAACAAGCTTATATGTTTTAGACATATTATGTAGAAGATGACCACAAAATGTATACAGACAGATATCATGCAGAAAGGCTGCTGGATATAGAAACCTGGAGCTCAGGGAATTGGTTGGAATTGGAGATAAACCAGTAGGTTAGAGAATACAAATGGTGTTTAGAATCATGGAACTGAGCCAGTTATTAGAGAGAAGGTCCAAGACTAGCATTTCGAGCTTGGGAACTGGCCAGAAGAGGAGGAAAGAAAGGAATAAAAGAAGTAGTCAGTGAGATAGAAGGGAAATCAGGAGAGGGAGGTCACAAAAAACAAAGGGAAGATTTGGAAGACAAAGGTCAACCATGCCAATTTCTACTGATAGGCTGATAGAAATGAGGACAGCGAAGTGTCACTGAATCTGGCAATGTGGACATGCTTGTGACTTGTAAAAAGCAATTTCAGAAGAGTGGTAGGGGAGAAACTAGGGCAGAGTGGGTTGATGAGCAAAGAAATGAGGAAGACCAGAGGATAGCAAGGACAGACACCCCTTGCATTGTTCTAAAGAATAACAGAGAAATGGGTTCAATCACTAGAGGTGAGGTCAAAGGAGAGTATTTTTAGTGTGAGAGCTGCCAGAGAGTAGATGTAATGGCAGCAATCCAGGAAAGATGCATGGAAGGACAAAAGATGAGTAAAGAATTAAGTCGGGGATCCATGGATGGCTCAGCAGTTTAGTGCCACCTTCAGCTCAGGGCCTGATCCTGAAGACCGGGGATCGAGTCCCACATTGGCCTCCCTGCATGGAGCCTGCTTCTCCCTCTGCCTGTGTCTCTGCCTCTCTCTCTCTCTGTCTCTCATGAATAAATAAATAAGGAGCCCGATGTGGGACTTGATCCCCGGTCTTCAGGATCAGGCCCTGAGCTGAAGGCAGCACTAAACCACTGAGCCACACACGCTGCCCAAATAAAATCTTTAAAAAAAAAAAAAAAAGTCCCTGAGAAAGTACAGGGAATGGGACCCAGAAGCCAAGCAAGATTGGCTTTTGATAGGAACAGGACACTTCTCCCACTGTGATACCAGGTGAAATGCAAAGGTGAGCCCAGACAGCAAAGTAAGGTTTGCAAATATAGTGAGGCTGTAGAGAGAGCTCCTGTGTGGTTAAATACCTTTACTTTCTCAGTAAGGTCCAGTGAGGAATGACTAGATTAGCCTGCAGACTCAGCCTCCAATCAGCTATGCACAGGCAGTCCAGTGGATTTTTCAAAAGTAAAAGTGATTATGTCACCAACCTGCTTAAAACCTTCCAGCAGCTTTCCCCCATTCTTTGGGAAAGGCCTCTCAACAGCTCACGAAGACCTGCAAGGCCTGTCCCTGCTTACCACTTTAGCCTCAGATTTCAGCCACCCACCCCTTAACACCATTCTCTGTGCTCCAGTGCCACTGGACTTCTCTTTGTTGGACGTGCCAGGCTTCCTTCTGCTGCAAGGCCTCTGTACATGCTATTACCTCTGCACGTGCTACTGGCTCCTCCCTCCCTTGGGCCAGTCATCTCCGAGTCCTTGTCCAGCTCTCGGCTCAAGTGTTATGTCCTCAGGGCAGCCTTTTCTGTCCCCTTCAGCCTAAGTTTGATTCCTTTGTGACACATTCTCTTGAAACTGTACTTCTATCCTTTGGAGCACTTAACTCAATTTCTTTTTTTTTTTTTTTTCTTAACTCAGTTTTTAATTATATGTTCTTGGTGTGCTTTATTTGCTTAATGTTTCTCTTTCACATTTCACAGTGAACACAATGCCTGCATTGGCTCCCACTGGATCCCCAACATTTAGCATAGTGATTGGCATATAGCAGGAAGTCAAGAAATATTGGTTGAGTAAACAGATGTGCAATATGGTAAGTACTATGACATAAACAGAAATTAAGAAGACACGGGTCTAAGGAAGCTGAAAATGAGTGGGACTACATAATATGTACATGACAGTATTCCCCTCTAAGGAAACACATGGTGTTAGTTTACAGTGGTAGCATCTGGGAAAGGGTGAGGAGGACACTTATTTTTGATTGCATATTCTTTTGCACTCCTTGAATAGGTGTGTGTGTGTGTGTGTGTGTGTGTGTGTTACTTATTTGTTTTTAATTTGAGAGAGAGAGAGAGAGAGAGAGAACAAGAGAGAGTGTGAGCACGAGCAGGGGGGAGAGGCAGACAGAGAGTGAGAAGCGGACTCCCTGCTGAGCAGGGAACCTGATGCGGGGCTCAATCCCAGGACCCTAGGATCATGACCTAAGCCAAAGCCAGACACTTAGCCAACTGACCCACCTAGATATCCCCGTGTGTTACTTTTAAAGATAAGCAAACACACTTTAAAAATAAAGGTACAAAATACTAAGTGACACAAAAGAGATAGAGAATGTCATAAAGTTCAGAGAAAAGAGGGTTAGGTTAAGGCCTTGGTAGGAAAGCTTTATAGAAAAATCATCACTTGAATTGGACACTGAAGGACAAGTAAAGTTTCAAAAGAGGTGATGAAGGGAAGGAGGAAGCGATTACTAAGGAGAAAGAACACTAAGCAAAGGGTTTAGGGCTGGAAAGACAGACTGAAGAAAGACAGTGGAGATAGGATGAAAAGTAGGTGGGGATCCATGCAGAGGCGGCAGTAGGTAATGAAGCCAGAAAGTTAGGGTTCAGGGTATTAGGTGGAGGCCAGGCTAAGGAATTCTGACAAATCTGGGCACAGGATGAACATGAAAGTACAAGTATTAGATCTGTGCATTGGGGAGGCTCTTTTGCAATCAGTGTGCAAGATGGATATAGGGGGAAGAGGCAGGCAACAGGAAGGAATGCAGGGTTAGGACCACCTTTTAAGACAGCAATGTCAATTTTATGTTATCTCTGTTTTTATGAAAGAGAGAGAGAATAGAAAGAGGCTAGTTTGCTTTGTATTCAGGGAGAGTATGCAGTATTTGTTGAGAGATACTGACAACCTGAGCCAATGTCAGATAGACTGGGAAGGAGGGGAAGAAGGTAGGCAGATGGCAGGGATGGCACCAACAGGTCTGGACATACTAATGAGATATGAAGACAGGGAGAAAAATCCAGGTGATAGAAATTGAGGAAGAGGGAGCTGGGGAGATAGGGCAGGGAAAAAAGATGGATCCATTTAGAACAATCTAAATTTAAAGAAGCAGGAGGCAATTAAGAAAGTTGAGATAGGCAATTATTTGGGAAGGAGATTAGTACTGAGGAGAGTCTACATTGTAGAGTCATTTGCATCTAGAAGATTTACTTTATTTATTTATTTATTTTTAAAATTTTATTTATTTATTCATGAGAGACAGAGAGAGAGAGGCAGAGACATAGGCAGAGAGAGAAGCAGGCTCCATGCAGGGAGCCTGATGTGGGACTCGATTCTGGGATTCCAAGATCACGCCCTGGGCCAAAGGCAGGCGCTTACCTGCTAAGCCACCCAGGCATCCCTCATCTAGAAGATTTAAATTGATAAGGCACCACTTGACAAATAAGCTAAAAAAAGAATGATGGGTTTCTTTATGGGGTAATGAAAATGGTTGCACAACTCTGTGAATATGCTTAAAATAGAACTGTATACTTTAAATGAGTGAATTGTATGGTATATGAATTATATGTCAAAGTTGCTGTAAAAAAAAAAAAAGTTGCTGTAAAAGGGCGGCCTGGCGTGGCTCAGCGGTTTAGCGCTGCCTTCGGCCCAGGGTGTGATCCTAGAGACCCGGGATCGAGTCCCGTGTCGGGCTCCCTGCATGGAGCCTGCTTCTCCCTCTGCCTGCTTCTGGACAGAGAGGAGGACCCAGTGGGGAATAACGTTGAGGTGTTCAGAACATAAGACTTTCCTACAAATTATGTACAAAAGGACAAATACCTAATGGATTTCTTCTGTAGTGACATGAACCTTCCACAGAATAAGTAGGCTGAAACACACTTCCCAACTGATGCGCAAGGACTTGGTTTATATCACTAAAGGAGATCTGCTTGATGTTCATCAGTTTCGCACAGATCTTATGAACGGCATCATTTTCATGAACAAGTAGGGCATCTGAAGATCGGTATAAGTGAGAAAGAGTCAAAACGGAGTTGTAGTTCTGAACAATAACCTGGAGAGAAAGGGGTCAGAAAAAAAGAAAGGCAAGAGAAAAGAGCAGTTAGGAGGGTAGATTCTAAAAGCATCCTGCCTGGGTTCAAATCCCAGGTCTGTCACTTTCTAGCTGTATGATTTGGGATGAATCATGTAATCTCTCCATGCTTCAGTGTTCTCACTTGTACAGCGGGGATAAAATTCTACTAGTTAAAAAAAAAAATTCTACTAGTTCCTAGAGTTGTAAGGATTAATGATAGAATGCAAGTAAAGCACTTAGAACAGTGTCCTATATATAGTAAAGTCTCAATAAATAGTGACTATTGCTATCACACTTTCTTCTACAGGATTTCCTATAGTACTTAACTCACTTCTGTTTTATTATTTTTCTTACAAGGCTGATCAACAGGAAATTGTCCTATATAGAAATTTCCTCCAAATGGAAAGAAAGATAAATTCTTGGAAGGTTGGCAGTGGCATGATGAACCCCAACATGATGTCAAGGTCCGTCTTTTACATGCTATAGTCACCAGGACTAACCCAGGAATGGGTTCCTGAGAGAAGTTGCACAATTGTCTTCTTCAGAATTTTTTTTTTAAGGTTTTATTTATTTATTTATTTATTTATTTATTTATGATAGACAGAGAGAGAGAGAGAGAGAGAGGCAGAGACACAGGAGGAGGGAGAAGCAGGCTCCCTGTGGGGAGCCTGATGTGGAACTTGATCCCGAGATACCAGGAGCATACCCTGAGCCAAAGGCAGGTGCTCAACCACTGAGCCACCCAGGTGCCCCTTCTTTGGAATTTTTTAAAACAAGGACACCTCATGTGTTTGGAAAAGTTTAATCAAAGTTGAATGAATTGTTCACAAAAGTGCCATATTATATAGTGAATGACTCCTGATGTAGTAACTTGACATTCCAAAGAAAGGGGGAGATCAATTTTTTACCTATATTTATTTCACTGCAAATACAAAATATAAATTTTTCTCTCTTCTTTTAAGATTTTATTTATTTATTCACGAGAGAGAGAGAGAGAGAGGCAGAGACACAGGCAGAGGGAGAAGCAGGCTCCATGCAGGGAGCCTGCTGTGGGATTCGAATCTGGGTCTCCAGGATCAGGCCCTGGACTGAAGGTGGCGCTAAACCTCTGAGCCACCCGGGCTGCCCCTAAATTTTCTCTTTTTTTAGAAGTTTTATTTATTTAAGTAATCTCTACACCCCTGTGGGGCTTGAACTCATAACCCTGAGATCAATAGTCATGTGCTTTTCTGACTGAGCCAGCCAGGCACCCTCAAAATATAAAATTTTCAATTAATATATTCATACCTCACCAGTTCCATAAGGCCATATAATCTGATTCATTTTCAAAGAGTTTGAGTACTGATCTTGTAAATTCTGTGTGACGAAGGCTCCTAGCCCTGATCCTGTGCCCCCAGCCATACTCATTATGATGAAAAAACCACTCAAAGAGTCACATTTCTCTACTTCCTTCTGGATGAGGTTCATTATAGATTCTTCGTGCCTGGGTCCATGAACAGAGTAACTATGCAACACAAAAGAAACAAACACAAACACCTTTGTTTACTCAGAAAGAGGCAATGCAGAGAGGAAGATATAGGATAGATAAGGTTTTTTAAACCCATGGATGTGAATTAACTCTCATGAGAGATACAGGTACCTTGATAGATTAAATTTAAAATTTAAAATATACAAGTTAAATATATTTAAGAGGTGAATAGGACTGCTGGGTACAGAAAATTCTCTTTTCTAGGCCATTCCTATAGTTGAAGACTTCAATACCAGGTTGTTCTGCAAGTTTATGGTACAAAATAATATTCAATATTCATAATAATACTCCTACAGCAGTGGTTCTCAAACTTGGCTGCACATTAGAATCACTGAGGGAAGCTTTAAAAAAATCCCAAGATCCAGGCTTCACCATAAACCACTTAAATCAGAATTTCTGGAAGTAAGACTCAGGCATTAGAATTTTCCAAAGAACCCCAGGATGTACTACTGCCTTGCTGTGTTCCCTATTTGCTAGAATACCTGCCAGATAAAGATAAAGATATTATTTTGATAATAAGTTAGTTGGCAGAATGACGAGGAAGAAGTGGAAACCCCTGCTGCAAGAGAGCTTTGGTTTTATCATTACCTGGACCTGAAGCACAGACATGTATGAAATGGAATGAAGAAGTTCTTCTGGTAAAGTCACCCTCTAAATTTTAAAATAGCAATTTCAAGATTATATGCTTGGTATATAAACAGTATAGCTGTAACTATGCTGTCCAGGTAGCTGTATCTAAACTAAAAATCATGAGGAATTACTCTTACCCATAGGCCCAGTTGTTTCCAGAACCTTCTTTTTGACAGAAGCACGAATGCTGGGCATATTTCCATTGGCCAGACTGGGCAGCCTTTGATAGTGTTTGATTGATAACTTTTGGTTCCATATCAACAAGGACAGCCCGGGCAATTGGAACTAGAGGGAAGAAAAAGACCAAAAGAAAAATATTTCATATATCTTATTTGGGTTATTTCAGAGTACAAATTTATAGGTAAAAAGAAAAAAAAAGAAAAAGAAATCCAAAAGTTGAGGATAAAAATTTTTTTTTAAGATTTTATTTATTTATTCATGAGAGACACAGAGAGAGAGGCAGAGACACAGGCAGAGGGAGACAAAAGTTGAGGATAGAAAGATCTGTCATATTGCTTAGAAATTTTTTTTTTTTGGCTTAGAAATTAAAGTGGGCAGCAGCAAGTCTATGCAGATAGTTCATAATGCCTAGCATTCTGCTAAGCAGGATGAATCAATGTGGGCTAAAATGATCACTGGGTCAGGTCTACAAACATCTGTTGAGAGCTTACAATGTGCCATATACTGTGCTGGGAACACAGAGATGGACAACATCAATCTAGCCCTAGAAGGACTAGTGGAAGAGATAAAACTTACTCACAGTATGATGTGATATGATCCACGATGAATCCACATTAATAGAGTAGCACATTCAGATGTATGAAATACCATGGGTACAACAAGCTGCTCACGATAGTTGAAGCAGAAGATGGAGAAGGAGGGGGTAGGTGGAAGAAGTTATGAATGGGTATGGAAAGCAGGCAGGGCTCAGATCTGAAGAAATTCTGTTATTCAGTGCTAAAAAGCTTAAAATTTTTTTCTTTAAGATAATGTGAAACCACTGAAAATGTTAAGTAGGTGAGGAGTAGTCAGATGACTTATATTATTTTTAATTTATTATTTAAGTAATTTCTATACCCAATGTGGGGCTTGAACTCCTGAGATCAAGAGATGCATGTTCTACCAACTGAGCCAGCCAGGTGCCCCATCAGATGACTTTCTAAATACAGCAGTGTGGAGAATAGATACGATAGACTTACAAGAGTCAAGGCAGGGAAACTAGAGGACCTGAAACAATACAGGTAAGAGAGGACAAGAGCCAGAACTAAGCCAATGACAGTGAAGATGGAAAGAGAAGAGATATGTAGGAAGTAAATTAAGCAGATCATTATGTTTGACAGTATGTGGGCAGTAAGAGTCCAACTTCTAAAGGAAAGATAATGAATGCCCTAGGGTATGGAGATGTTGAGCTTGAGGTACACATGGGAATGCAGATGCGGATGTCCACTAATCAGTCTGTAGCCTGGAAGAGAAGCTAGGCTACAGATTTGAGTCATTAGCGTCAAAGAAGTAGCAAATCACAAGAGTAACTGAAATTGCCCAAAGAGAAATATATGAGTGAGGACAGAGGAGAGAGAGCTTAAGATGCAACCGCTGGAGAAGAAAAGTTCAGAGACTAAGGAGGAGTGTTTTTTTTTTTTTTAAGATTTTATCTATTTATTCATTAGAGAGAGAGAGAGAGAGAGAGAGAGAGAGAGAGAGAGAGAGGGAGGCAGAGACACAGGCAGAGGGAGAAGCAGGCCCCATGCAGGGAGCCCGATGTGGGACTCGATCTTAGGACCCCAGGATCAGGCCCTGGGCCGAAGGCAGGCACCGAACCACTGAGCCACCCAAGGATCCCCTAAGGAGGAGTTTTAAGGAGGAAGTTTTATAGTTAATATTATAAAATCCAGAAGAGAAGTTAAGTGAACTGGGAAAAGAAAAACAGTCACTGGATCTTGTGATAAGAAGATTACTAGGATTTTTTTTTTTTTTTAAAGAGAGGGAGGCAGGGAAAGGAAGAGGGAGAGGGAGAGAATCTTAACCAGGTTCCATGCCCAGCATAGAGCTTGATCTCACCACCTGAGATCATGACCTGAGCTGAAATCAAGAGTTGAATGCTTAACTGACTGAGCCACCCAGGCACCCCACTAGGATCTGTTCTTTGAGCACTTTTTTTTTTTTCTTTGAGCACTTCAATTGGGTGTAGGGCTAAAACAGGACTGAAGTTAGTTAAAGAGGTTCTCCTTTGAGAATCTTAGATGGGAAGGTAAAGAGATAAGAAGGAAAAAGAAAAGCTTGGGGTGCCTGGCTGGCTCAGTCGGTTAAGCATCCAACTTAAGGACACTTAATCTCGGGGTTATGAATTCCAGCCCTATATTGGGGTAGAGGTTACCTAAAGAAAAATTGCAAAGCTTATTCCAAATCTTTGGACTCTGTACCACCCCACAGTGCCTACATCCCCAAGGGAATAAATCTCAAAAAAAAAAAAAATTAAAAAGCTGTAGTCATAAGTTGTTTGGTCAGTTTTATTTGTACTTATTTTTTAAAAGATTTTATTTATTTATTTGACAGAGACAGAGAGAGAGCACAAGCAGGCAGAGCGGCAGGCAGAGGGAGAGGGAGAAGCAGACTCCCCACTGAGCAGGGAGCCTAATGCCAGGCTTGATCCCAGAATCCCGGGACCATGACCTGAGCCAAAGGCAGACAGCTAACTGACTGAGCCACCCATGTGCCCCTATTTGGCTGGTTTTAGATTGGTGAGATCTGAGCATGCTCATGTGCTGAGGGGAAGTTGCCACTGGAGAGGCAAAGGTTGTTAACATATAAAGAAGGGCAGAGAGCAAAGTCATTCCCTATTAAAATGTGAAGAAATGGGGTTCAGACACCATGTGGAAGAATGGCCTTGAAGAGGAGTCAGAGTACAGGAGAGGACTATAGATGGATCACACATACCTCCATTTTCCTCCTCACTAAAGAATCTTTCTTTGGAAGATGCTTGATATGTCTCATTTTCTCGTTTAGAGCAGAGTCCTTGGGGACAGTGTGAGTCACTATACAGAGCATCAAATACTTCAAAACCAATCTGATTGCCACACTGACCAAGTTGCACTGTTACTACTGACATGCTGAGATGCAAAGTAGACCTATTCCCTCAAAAAAGTAAGCAACCTGTAATAGAAAAACATAGGCTTTCAGAACCATTACAGTACTAATAAACAAAGAACAAATAAAATGTCATATGTACATAGATTAAAAAATTAATTTTAAAATGCCATATAACATGTTATAGATTTAACAGGTATGTTGTCTAAGCAGCTAATCATTCAAGGAAGTTGTTTTCTTTCTCTATGTAGTTTTGGGATTTGGAATTTACTGTACCCAGATGCATTCATAGACAGCTCAATAGTTACTGAAATCTGATTTGTATCTACTCTGTCCCTAAGCATGCATTTTTAAAAAAGATATTTATTTTACTTATTCATGAGAGACACACAGAGAGAGGCAGAGACATAGAGAGAAGCAGGCTCCTCACAGAAAGCCGATGTGGGACTTGATCCCAGGACCCTGGGGATGGCGACCTGAGCCAAAGGCAGGCGCTCAACTGCTGAGCCACGCAGGTGTGCCCCTAAGCATGCATTTAAAACAAAACAAAACAAAACAAAATGAATGTTAGTTGAAGCAATTCCTAGTACGTACTTTACACTACTGGGACACACAAAACGCATAAGTTAGCTCAAAAATTGCACATTTAGGGGATCCCTGGGTGGCTCAGCGGTTTAGCGCCTGCCTTTGACCCAGGGCGTGATCCTGGAGTCCCAGGATCGAGTCCCGCATCGGGCCCTCTGCCTATGTCTCTGCCCCTCTCTCTCTATGTCTATCAAGAATAAGCAAATAAAATCTTTAAAAAAAGAAAAAAGAATTGTACATTTAATTAACCTTAATTCTCTCTCTTCTAAATAATGACTTTCTTTCTCTACTGATCACCTTCTGCCTGGTAACTACAATAACATAAGAAAGACTGCATTTAGCTTAGGCAGAGAGCAAGGGAGACAAAGCTTGGAAAGAGAGGGTCAGATGAAATAGGAGAGCAAGTCTTCACCACTTTTAACAACGAAATGAGACAATTTTTGGTAAAGACCTCACACCAGGTTTATGCAGCACTGGAAAGAGCAATGCTCTTCGAGCCACACTGTACTTTTAATTTTCAAACAACCCTGCAAACTAGGTATTCTCATTTTATAGATAAGGAAACTGAGGTTCTGAAAGGTAAGTTTCTCCCTTTCCCCACCAGTCCCAGAGGCTCCCCATAAACCCCACTCACTGACAGACCCAAAACCAGCCGTTTCCGCTCTGTTCAAACTTCAGAGGGCCAACCCCCTCATTATGCGCATGCTCACTTTCAATACCAAAAAAAGCTGTGGAGAACGAATGCGCATGTTCACAAACGAAGAGTTTTGTTGTGGGTTCCCCCCACCCCCCGCCCCATTCAGAAAGGTTAATTACGCATGTTCAATTTCAATTTATCAACTCCAGACACGGTACGCATGCTCATTGTCCATCAAACGCTTTGGCCGACAATGCGCATGATCTAGCTGCCATAAGAGGCTTCGACTGGGGTTCTGCGCATGTTTCTGCCAGCACCCGGTTCCAGGCGATAGCTCTACGCATGTTCATTGCCCACAGTTAGGCTTCACAGAACCTTGTACGCATGCTCTAGCGCTGAACTTGAGGAGCCAGTCTAGGGCCTAGGCGCAGACGCACTGAGCCCAAGCAGCCGGTGATGGCGGCAGCAGCGGCGGTGGCTGCAGCGGGTCCGGGCCCATGAGGCGACGACGGAGGCGGGACGGCTTTTACCCAGCGCCGGACTTCCGAGACAGGGAAGCTGAGGACATGGCAGGAGTGTTTGACATAGACCTGGACCAGCCAGAGGACGCGGGCTCTGAGGATGAGCTGGAGGAGGGGGTGAGGCCCGGGGTCCCGGGGGGCCCGAGGTGACAGGGCCGGGGCGGCGGCGCGGGCCCTGGAAGCCCGGCGCGTCCGAGAGCGCGGAGATCCGGGCGGGCGCGAGTAGTCTCCAGGAGGAGCGTAGGCGCCGCGCGGTCCCAGGCGGGGGAGCGGGCGGGGCGGACCTGGCACTAGGTGTGAGGCCGCTGCGGGGCTCGCAGTGCAGGTCGCGCCGGTAGCCCCAGATCAGCGCAGCCCGGAGCAGTCTATTCGTGGAGGCAGCGAGAAGGGGTGCGTGGTGGATTCCTCGAGCTGTTGAACTTCGGTGTGGCGGGGCGCGAGGGGTGTAAGCGCGTGTTGGGGGGAGGGGGACTGCGCTTTCTGGGCGTCCCTGAAGTGCAGGTGAAGTGCGGAAGGGTTTCCCTTGGAGTATAAGATTTCATATATTAAATCTTCAGACCTCCCACAACCACCTCTCTTCTCGGCCTGTCGCTTCTCTCCTAGGAAGCGCTCAGCTGTTAGAAGTGACAGCTGAAAACTTCTGTCGGGAGTAGCGCTGCCGCTGCTGTTACAGCCACCAGGAGTTTTATTTCGGGAGCAAGGGGGCTCTGCTGCATCTTCCAGGGTTTGTTTGTTTGCTTTTTTTTTTTTTTTAACCCCCCTTCCGTGTGATTTTTTTTTTTTGTAAGCACTTAAAACGACACACGGTATTTGTAACTTTTCCCCTAGTTGAAGATGTCTACATTTTTTCGAAATACTTTGTGTAATTTTGGGGTGGAAAAAAACCAGCGTTGACAGCTGTGATTTGGCTTGCCAAAAATAAATTGCTTGAACTGAGACTTGTGAATGGTGGTGTGAGGGCTTTCCTTGCTGTAATTTAGGGTACTAAATTTAGAATTGTTTTTTCCTAATACATAGCTTGGTTTTACCATTGCTGTCTTAATAGTTTGTTATTCTTTATGGAATAAAGAATATTCTTTTTTCAAGGTAAATTTATTGAAAAATCAGAAATTGCGCTTGAAGTTCAAAAATACTGCTGTCGTACTACATCACTGATTGTGGGCAAATGATCATCAGTGATAACCTCATGATAATTTAGGTTCTGAATCCCACTGTCTAGGTTAATACATGAGTTAAGGACGGGTGTCAGATATTTGCTCTATGTAAGGGGCTTCCCTTTTCCTCACCTGATTTTCTCTTCTGGAAAGTAAGTTGTGCCCTGTTTGTTGCTAGATCCAGGTACTATAAATAAAGAGCTTTGGATATTTTAAGAAACTAAGTGGGCTGAAATAATATTATCCTTTTCATAATCAAATGAGTCTAAATAAAAATCACCTAGTGTGTAAGGTAAGTATTGAGATGTGTACTTTTTAATATGTTTGCCTATGGAATTCCAGTTAGCCTTTTAGTGGAATACCTGATACACTACATACAATTTGAAACAAATATGGAATTACTTTCACTATGTATTGCATACTCTCATTAACTATATTGGCTCCATATGGCAGTGGCTTTGGAGCAGGGCAGGAGAGAAAGCTGGATAATTCAGGAGACATTAAAGCACTTGGAAGTAAAACACTGAATTAAGATTTCTTTTAAGAACTGGGACCTCCTTGGGCGCCTGGGTGGCTTAGCTGTTGAGTGTCTGCCTTCCGCTTAGGTTGTAATCCCGGGGTCCTGAGATTGAGTTCCACATTGGGCTCCCTGCATGGAGCCTGCTTCTCCCTCTGCCTAAGTCTCTGTGTCTCGTGAATAAATAAATAAAACCTTTAAAAAAAAAAAAAAAAAAAAAGAACTGGGCCCTCCTTGAGATGTATTTTTCACCTACTCATGTACATTCATTTTGCTGGCAAATGCAAGCAAACAGGTTTTTGAGAGTCTGTGGAAGAGGAGGCCAGAGAAATTGGTAGAAATATGAAAGAGAAAAAAATATGGCCTCTACCCTGGGAAGGAGAACTTTGGAGAAAAAGCAAAGGTAAAGAGGATTTTGAGGAACAGCAAAATACATCTTACTTAGCAATGCTTTTTGGAGTTGAAAATATTTTTTTTGAATGTTATTCTAAGAGGTTCCTCAAAGTGGACAGACAAGCAAAAAGAGTTGAGAATGGGATTGAGTTGGCCAGTGACATCCAGATATCTCTAAAATAAAATTTTAAAATTCTAAAGGATGAGAAGCTTAGATTCTTGGAAAATCTGGCTATTTGTAAATATACATTTAGTACACACACTTTTTAAAATATCAGTGCACATTAGAGTAGTCCCACTTCTTCATTTTATAGTACAGAAACTGAGGCATAAAACAGGTGATTGCCCAAGACCACATAGATAACTAGTACTTGACTAGTAGTGTCTTCTGACTCCAGCCTACAGACTTCACTGCACACCTTCTTCATTGTTTTTACTAGTCTTGTTCATACTGTACTTCTTTGTGGTGTGCCAGGTTCATTCAGATCCCTCTAGGCATTGTCACTGTATGACCTAGAATAAATTGCTTAATTTTTCTGACTTTTTTTTGTTCTCTGCAAAATGAGGATTATGTGAAATAACCATATAAAATACTGCCCTCTTAAAATATTCTGGCATATTAAGCAGTTAGCTAGTTCATGGAAATACAGCTTGTTGGTGTTACTCATTGCAAAGGAATCAAATGTTCAGATTTACCCTCATCTATGCCTAGAGACTTAAATGCAGTTATACCAGAGGTGCTACATTTTTTAAACTAGGATTTTTAAATTTTTAAATTTATAAATATGTGCCTTTTTAGATATGTCACACTGACTAAATTTATATTAGCAAATATATGTATTTATACAACATAGTTAATTCTTCATTGAGTAAAGGAAAAGGACAGTAAATGAATGCATTTATGGATAAAGTTGAATGTCTGTTACCTAACTTTAAAAAAAGACCCTGTTTGTTTGGTTGGTTTTTCTTAAGATTTTATTTATTTATTCATGAGAGACAAGAGAGAGGCAGAGACATAGGCAGAGGGAGAAACAGGCTCCCTACAGGGGAGCCTGATGTGGGACTTGATCCCAGAACTCCGGGATCATGCCCTGAGCTGGAGGCAGATGCTCAACCACTGAGCCACCTAGGGGTCCCAAAAAGACCCTGTTTGAATACTTCAGAGGACTGTGTTAAAAAGCAATGGGTAAGAGGGTTTTTTGGGGGAGGGGAAGCTGGCTGGGTAGGTCCAGGTTTTTTTGTTTGCTTTTTACTGGTGATGATATGATTTGGGGAGACTGAGTTGAAACTGAGGGCAAGTTTTCCTCTAAAGATTTTTTTTTTTTTAAGATTCTATTTATTTATTCATGAGAGACCCAGAGAGAGGCAGAGACACACAGGCAGACGGAGAAGCAGGCTCCCTGCAGAAGCCCAATGTGGGACTCGATCCTGGAACTCCAGGATCATGCCCTGGGCCAAAGGCAGATGCTCAAGCACTGAGCCACCCAGGCGTCCCAAGGATTAGACTTTGCATTTTTTTTTTTTTGGATTAGCCTTTTCTATTACTTTTAACTTTGTGTCTCCACAGAAAATAAGTTTCCAATATCTTCATAATCTAATGAAAATCTCCAGAGGAGGGGTGCCTGGGTAGCTCAGAGGTTGAGCATCTGCCTTTGACTCCGGGCGTGATCCTGGAAAAGTCTGATCCTTAATTTTTACTAATTCAAAATTTGAAGTACTCACAGAAGTTTATTGCATAGATTTCAGGTTGGAATATCAGATTTTTATTGGATAAAAAGTTTACAGTTTTTTAGTGCTTTGAAAAACAGTGCTAGAGCAAATATTCATGGTTATGAAAAATTATAGAAAGACCTCTCATCAGTACATATCTTGCATTACAGTAGGCAAATAGCTCAAGATTTGGGGCAATGTTTACTCCTTTTCTTCCAATTCATTGAGTTACTGAGTCTTATTTTGTAAGGAAATGACTGAGCAAACAGGCAAGTAGGTAAACAGTATAATGAATATCTGAATTAAGGATATTTCACCTATTCTTTAACAATTTATTTACATTTTTATGAAATGTTCCCTCTTTAATTGGGATTTTAGGCATATTAACTTGAATTTTTATACAATATTAATTTAAAACTTTGGAAATAGTTTGGTGGGCTGGTTTGCAACATCTTGTAAAGTACCTTAGATGAGCAGGATTCACTTTGTCAATCATAGCACAGGAAAAAAAAGCATTGGATGGGTCATAAAGCTTAAAGCAGCAGAAAAAAAAATCTAACTAGTAAGTTTCCTATGAAAGATAGTTGTCTATGTATTATGTAATGTTAGCCTGATGCTTCTGATGTGAGATTTTTCTGAAGGTAACATGGAGTAGCAGAAAAGCATTGTGCCTCAAATGCTTCTGCTCTAGAAGGTAACAGTAGGAAGTTATAAACACAGATGCAGGTGGTAATACAGGCATGGCTGGCTCCGGAAATGAAACATAGCCACAGGGCATATCTTTCTAGGTGCCTTCAAAGTCATGGTTTAGTGTTAACTACTCTGTGGTCTTTAATTTAAAATTAAGTAAAACTAACACTAAAGTAAAAACAAAACAAAAACAACAAAAAAATAAAGTAAAAACAATTATATATTACCAGTTTTATCGCATTTAAAAGAAGTTAGTCTTTGGTCTTTAAAAGTGAAGCCATCGTAGGTGATTATGTGAAGCACCAGAGACGACCAAACCTTTAACCAAACCTTTAACCATAACTACCACTGCCCCCAAAAGAAACTGTTTCAAGTTGAAACTGCAAGAACTTTTTTGCCCTTGATACTGAGGCATCCATTTGGTTTAATTTTTTTTAAGATTTTATTTATTTATTCATGAGAGAGAGAGAGAGGCAGAGACACAGGCAGAGGGAGAAGCAGGCTCCTCTCCTTTTTATTTTTCAAAAAGATTTTATTTATTGTTTATTTGAGAGAGAGAGAGAGACACGGAGACCATGAGCAGGGAGGAGAGGGAGAAGCAAGATCCTCATGAGCAGAGAACCTGATGTGGGGCTCAATCCCAGGACTCAGATCATGACCTGAGCCAAAGGCAGATAGATGCTAAACCAACTCAGGCCCCAAGAATAGTCATTTTATTTTATTTTGTTAAGAATAGGCATTTTAAAGCTGTATTTTAGAATGTTAATAACGGCATTTCTACTGCCAAGTTATTTTTTTTTAACAATTCTGTGACTTTTAGTATATTTATAGAATTGTACAACCATCACTGCAATTTAGTTTTAGAACATTTATATCACCCTTAAAAGAAACTGGGCCCATTTATACTCCCTCCTTATTGCCACCTCTATTCCTAGATAACCAATGGTCTACTTTCCATCTCTATAAACTTGCCTTTTCTGGACATGCCACGTAAATTGAATCATTCAGTATGTGGACTTTTGTGTTTGTCTTCTTTCATTTAACATAACAGTTCTGAAAATCATCTGTGTGATAGTATGTGTATATAGCCAAATTGTATTCCATTGTATGTATCAACCACATTTTATTTATCAGTTCACAAGTTAATGTTCATGGAAGTTCCCATTTTTTGACGGTTGTGAATAATGCTGCTATGAACATTTGTACCCAAGTCTTTGTGGTACCTATATTTTTATTTTTCTTGGGTAGATACCTGGGAGTAGATTTGTTGGATCATATGCTAAGCCTATGTTTAATTTTTGAAGAAACTACCAAACTATTAAAGAGATTGTACCATTTTATATTCCTGACAGTGGTGTATGAATGTTCCAATTTTTGTACTTCTTGCCAAACTTATTTTTCTGTCTTTTTAATTATAGTCATCCTAGTGGCTATCAAGGGGTATCTCAATGTGATTTAGATTTACATTTGCATTTCTGTAATGGCTGATGATGTTGAACATCTTTTCAAGTGCTTATTGACCATTTGTGTATATTGTTTGGAGGAATACCTATTCAAATTCTTTTTTTTTTTAAATTTATTTATTTATTTATGATAGTCACAGAGAGAGAGGGAGAGGCAGAGACACAGGCAGAGGGAGAAGCAGGCTCCATGCACCGGGAGCCCGACGTGGGACTCGATCTCGGGTCTCCAGGATCGTGCCCTGGGCCAAAGGCAGGCGCCAAACCGCTGCGCCACCCAGGGATCCCCCTATTCAAATTCTAACCCATTTTTAAAATACTGTGTTTTTTTGTTTTTTTTTTTAAGATTTTATTTATTTGAGACAAAGAGTGAGCAAGAGACAGAGACAGCAGGGTAGGGGGGAGGAGCAGAGGGAGAGGGAAAAACAGACTCCCTGCTGAGCAGGGAGCCTGCCATGGATCTCAATCCCAAGACGCTGGGATCATGACCTGAGCCAAAGGTAGATGCTTAATTGACTGAGCCACCCAAGTGCCCCCCAAAATTGGGTTATTTTTAAATTTTGAGTTGTAGAAGTTCTTTTATATATTCTTATTTTGTGGGTTTTCTTTTCACTTTCTTGATAGTATCTTTTGAAGTGCGAAAGTTTTAAATTTTGAATAAGTCTAGTTTACTGATTTTCTTTTCTTTTTTTTTTTTAATTTTTATTTATTTATGATAGTCACAGAGAGAGAAAGAGAGAGAGGCAGAGACATAAGCAGAGAGAGAAGCAGGCTCCATGCACCGGGAGCCCGATGTGGGATTCGATCCCTGGTCTCCAGGATCGCGCCCTGGGCTAAAGGCAGGCGCCAAACCGCTGCGCCACCCAGGGATCCCTGATTTTTTTTTTTTTCTTGAATCATTTGTGCATTTGGTGATGTGTCTTAAGAAATCATTGGCTATCCTTGGTTTCTTTTAAGGGTTTTGTAGTTTTAGCTCTTATATTTAGGCCTGTGATCAATTTTCAAAAAATATTTATTTATTTAGGGTGCCTGGGTGGCTCAGTCAGTTAAGCATCTGCCTTCTGCTCAAGTCATGATCGGAGTCCCAGGATTAAGCCCATGTCGGCTCCTTGCTCAGGGAGGAGTCTGCTTCTCCCCTGTCTCTCCCCCTGCTCATGTTCTCTCTCACTCTCTCACTTGTGTGTGCGCTCTTTCTCTCTTTCTCATGAATAAATAAAATCTTAAAAAAAAGATTTATTAATTTGAAAGAGAGAGAAAGAGAGCATGAGGGTGGGGGTGGGCAGAGGGAGAGGAAGAGAGAATCCCAAGCCGACTCCATGCTCAGTGTGAAGCCCAATGCAGGGCTCAATCCCACAGCCCGGAGATCACTATCTGAACTGAAACCAAGAGTCAGGCACCCAACCAGCTGTGCCAGCCAGGTGCTCTAGGCCTGTGATCAATTTTAAGTTAATTTTTTAGTATGGTAGAGTATGGTGTAAAGTGGGGAACCAAAGTAATTTTTTTGCATGTGGATATCCAGATGTCCCAGCACCATTTATTGAAAGACTGCCTCTTTCCCATTGAATTTTCTTGGCACCTTTGCCAAATATTAGTTGACCATAAATGTAAGGGTTTGTTTCTGGACTCTTAATTCTATTTCATTGATCTATATGTTTGTTCTTATTACAGTACCACATTGTCTTGGTTACTGTTGCTTTGTAGTACATTTTAAAATTAGGAAATGTCAATTCTCCAACTTTGTTCTCCTTCTTCAAGATTGTTTGGCTATTTTGGGTCCCTTGCATTTCTGCATGAATTTTATGGTCAGCTTCCCAATTTTTGTAAGAAAGTAACTTGGGGGGATCCCTGGGTGGTGCAGCGGTTTAGCGCCTGCCTTTAGCCCAGGGCGCAATCCTGGAGACCGGGGATCAAATCCCACGTCGGGCTCCAGGTGCGTGGAGCCTGCTTCTCCCTCTGTGTATGTCTCTGCCTCTCTCTCTCTGTGTGACTATCATAAATAAATAAAAATTTAAAAAAAAAATCTTTAAAAAAAAAGAAAGTAACTTGGAATTTTGATAGGATTGAGTTGAATCTGTAGACCAATTTGGCTAGTATAACTATCTTAAACAATACTAAGTTGTCAGATCCGTGAACATGGAATGTCTTTTGATTTATTTAGATCTTATTTAATTTTTTCAGCAATGTTTTACAGTTATCAAATGTATAAGTCTTATACTTTGTTAAATTTTTTCTAATTGATGCTATTTTATTCTTATTGATGCTATTGTGAACAGAGTTATCTTAATTTTATTTTTAAATTGTTCAGTGTTAGCATACAGAAAGTTTTTTTTTTAATTTATTTTTATTTTTTTTAGCATACAGAAAGTTAATTAAATTTTGCACCCATTTATACTATGGCCAGAATAAATGTTTGGCTAGTGTGATTCCTGACAATTTGAGGGTGATGCTTAATATGTGTACAGCCACGTTGTACACTATAGTATCTGGACTATTTGTGGTTACCTTAGGCTTAGGTAGGTTGTAGTTACATATGTTATGTTAGTCTTGCATATCAGAATCATATCAGAATAGCTGATAACTTTATGTAAATCATTTGATTTAGTAACTCATACTTAGAATATGGTGTCTTTAGTTTCATAGTATACAAGATGTATCTTTTGAATAAATGTAATTTTTAAAGGAGCTATCACCTAGTTTTGTAGATCATTGATGAGTAGCATCTGTAGCTTAATTGTCACAGAAAATTAAAAGTGAAACCCCTATAGTCTTTTCTGCCTTATTTTGTTCATCACCACATTTGCCTGTAATTAGAATATAGAGAATTTTTAAGCTGGTTTATTTCATTCATTTCTCCTTTAGTAGTAGAGTGAAACATTAAGTATTTTGATTTTATGTTTATGAGATTATTTTTACAACTTTAATGTATTTTTCAGGGTCAGTTAAATGAAAGCATGGACCATGGGGGAGTTGGACCATATGAACTGTAAGTTTATATGAAAAGATTTCATTGTGCTATGTTTCTTACAAGTAGGTTTTATCACTTCTAGTTTGTAGCCATCATGCGATTCCAATAACCTGTTCTTAATTATCCAGTCATATACGTAAACTTAGTTTATTGACTTTAGCATCAATATAGTAATATACACTGGGTTTTGAGGTCATTGTATAGATTTTGAGAGAGATATTCATTCTGATTTACAATATACTGAAAATGAAACAGAATGAGTCAGGAATTTTAATTAGGTTAATAGAGATAAAATTTTAATAGAAATAAATTTTTTAGAAATACCTTCCAAAGCCAAATCCTTTTTGTTTTGCTTGTAATACATCATTCATACAGAGATTTGTACAACTCAAGTCATTTTAGGCAAACTCTATTAGGCGAGTATGATGATTAATCTGCTCTGTACACCAACCTTAAGTAAAAACCATGGGTGGGGGTAGACCAAGATCACTCATGTAAAAAACATTTAAGGGACAAATTGCCACTTAACTGCCACTTTTGGAGTCTTTAAATCCATCTAATAGTAGATTGGAAAGATTCATGGGTACATTTTATTAGTGAGAATTTTTGCAGCATAAAGACTTGAACTAATTGGGTACTTTTAGAAAGTTCCCAGATTTTCTGAAGTTGGGTAATATCTAGTCTTACAGACATTTCAAATGAACTAAATATGAATAACCAGAAGACTTTTTTCCTTTGTCAACTTAATAAGCTTGTTCTAATTTATCTTAATTTGGGGATGCTTGATGCTTACAAAAATAAATAATAGCATATTCTGTAAATAAGCAGATAAACAAGTATCAAACCAGCCTAATCTTGACCTACCATGTCATCAAATCATTACTGAGAGCATGGATAGTAAATTTGGCTGTTATGTATTTTTTCCTTTTTACTTATTTGGATTAAAATTATAGTAAACTGAAGATGATTTAACTTTTTGAGAATTTACTTTTTGCTTTACTTTTCTCCCTAGTGGCATGGAACATTGTGAGAAGTTTGAAATTTCGGAAACTAGTGTGAACAGAGGGCCAGAAAAAATCAGACCAGAATGTTTTGAGCTACTTCGGGTACTTGGTAAAGGGGGCTATGGAAAGGTAGGAAGTGTTTTTGAAATAAGAGCTGTTGTCTGTCTTGGGTAGGTTAATTTTTTTGCCGGAGGGGGTGGGTAGGTTAATTTTTATACCCTGGTTCAGCAGTCCTCTTTATTTTTTATTTTTATTATTATTTTTTAAAGATTTTATTTTATTTTTTTTAAATGATTTTATTTATTTACACAGAGAGAGAGAGAGAGAGAGAGAGAGGCAGAGAGGCAGAGAGGCACAGGCAGAGGGAGCAGCAGGCTCCATGCAGGGAGCCCAATGTGGGACTCGATCCAGGGTCCCCAGGATCAAACCCTGGGCTGCAGGCGGCGCTAAACCACTGCGCCACCGGGGCTGCCCTTAAAGATTTTATTTATTTATTCATAAGAGACACAGAAAGAGGCAGAAACAGGCAGAGGGAGAAGCAGGCTCCTTGCAGGGAGCCCGACGTGGGACTCGATCCCAGGACCCCAGGATCACACCCCGGGCTGAAGGCAGCGCTAAACCGCTGAGCCACCCGGGCTGCCCCAGCAGTCCTCTTTAATCTTTGTTAGCTATCAAGCAAAGGATGTGATCACTTAACCTGGCATTATTTGAGGAATGTACAGAACTTCTCTTTCTACCACCATGCACATAAAAGACCGACACATAACAAGCACTCAGTCAATATTTGTTGAATAAATTGGCAACTATGCCAGGCAAAGTCTATTATTAGAGGATTCCTTCCTTCTTTTGGTTAAATGGTATCCTCTATAGGTATCCTCTTAAAAGAGATACCACTCCTTACTTTTAAGAGGCTTGGCACATTAAATTGTTATCTGTTACTGAGACCTATGTCTGAATTGGATTTCTTTTACTTGAAGTATTTGGAGCATTAGGGAAGCTAAAGAATATTATATATTATATTATATATATAATATAAGGGAGAAGAAAAATGAAGAGAACTTAGCTTCGTATTTTGCCCAAGGCTTTCTAATTTATTACCTCACCTTTGTGTATTCTGCCTAAAAAAATTTATACCTAGTTAGCTATTCTTTATCCAAAGATAGAATTTGGATAACATTTTAGTAGTTAGGATTAAGTTTAAGGACTATTTATGCTACTGTGTAGTGTTAATTTTTTCATAGCATGACATTTGTATTTTTTTCTTAGGCTTAAGGATGCATTCTAGTGTGTTCTAATCATCTCAGATGTGGAACATATGCATTTTGAGTCTCACATTATTTTAGCTGTTGCATGATAATGTCTTACATAGTTTGCCATTTTAGGGAATAGGTAAATGTCAACTATTATTAAAGTTTTATGAGAAGCAAGAATAGTGGTATTCCTGGAAGAAATTTATAAAATATTTTATAATTTTTACTTTTGTTATTCTGCTTCTGGGAACCCTGATTATAGCTTTTTCTGAGCAAACTTGGATTTTGTGTATGAAGTTAGAGTGCCCGTCATTGGATGGTCATTAACCAGCTTTGCCACCAGATGTCAGCAGACCAAATTGGACAGTCCCATGTTTAGCAGATTTCATTACTAAGTCTTTAATATAATCTGCTCTTTTAGTTCATCATTTTTTCACAGCCTTTGTATTACTAGTTTCTTTAAGAATATAAACTATTGTATAATTCCTATAAATAGGAATTAAGGGAGTGTAACTAGCATAGTTTAGCTTTTAATAACACACAAACACTTTTATTCCTTTTTATCCAGGTTTTTCAAGTACGAAAAGTAACAGGAGCAAATACTGGGAAAATATTTGCCATGAAGGTGCTTAAAAAGGTAATTCCTTCCCTCCTCTTTGTTCTTTTTTTTTTTTTTTTTAAAGTAGGCTCCATGCCCAGCATTGAACTGCAAGACCCTGAGATCAGGAATTTCATGTTCCACTGACTCTGCTGGCCAGGTGCCCCTCCCCAACTTTATTGTTAATTGCTATAAAAGCCATATTTTGGCCCAAAATTCTCAGTCAAGAAAATGTATTTCTAACATAATATTTCAAGTCCTCTTAGATTATGAACTGTTTCATTTTTGGTATTCCCGTTTTATTTTTCCTTGGTGAGCATGGGAAGGAAAGCTCTTTTAATTCTCCTCCGAGGTAACTTTTTTAGCTCTTCGTTCTGATCTTCATATTTCTAAGTAATAAACATGTTCTGTCACTTAATCCAGCAGGTTTAGAATTATGTATTGATTTCCACTCTATTCTGTTTTACTTCTTCCTCCCTTCTCTCCATCCTCTCATTTTGCTTTGTTTTCTTTGAGTCTACTATTTGTCTTATCATACCTTCCAACAACTGTTTAGACCAGTGTTCTCTGGTACCACTTATCAGGTAGCCTGTCAGTTCCATTTATTTCCCTGTAGATATCCCATCAGAACCTTCTGTTCCCTGTTCCCGTCTTTATTGGTAGGTCTCTAGGCATAGCTGCCCTTGGCTCCATCAGTGTTGGATTCTTTGTTTCCTGGATCCCGTATCTTCCTTTTTCTTAGTTTATGCCCTTGTTCCCTCTGTTGATAACCATCTATCAATGGCTTTCTGAGAAAGGGTGCATGAAGGTAAATTTTTGGGGAAGCATTGCATATTTGAAAATTTCTCTATTATACCCTTATGCTTGTTTAATTGTTTGGCTGTGGTATTGAAGTTGAAAATCATTTTCACCCAGGATTTGGCTTTATTTTCACCTTGCATTGAGTGTTTCTATTAAGGAGTCCCTTGCCATACTACTGATTCCCATCTTTTTTGTTTTTATTTTTTTTAAAGGCTTTATTTTAAATTTATTCATTTGAGAGAGAGAATGAGTGAGAGCATGAGCAGTTGGGAGGGGGAGGGGGAGAGGGAAAGGAAGAGGGAGAAGGACTCCCTGCCTGAGGAGGGAGTCCAATATGGGGCTTAAACCCAGGATGCCAGGATTGTGATCTGATTGGAAGGCAGATGCTTAACTGACTGAGCCACCCTGGTGCCCCCTGATACGCATTTCTTTAGAGATCTATTTTTCTTTAAAGATATCTATAATTTTCTTTTGATTTCTGTTGTTCTAAATTTCTTACAGTGTTATATTTATCTTGCTTTGATCTTTATTATTTTTTTTACTCTTTCTGTCTTAAAAGTTTCAGTCCTTCAGCTCTAGGAGGTTTCCTTATATGGTCTTTGATATTTCTTTCTCTACTGTTTTCTCTTTTCGGATTTATAGTCAGTTGGATGTTGGACCTCCTGGACTGACTGATAACTATTTTTCTTATCCTTTCTATTGGTTCATTTCTTTGTCTTTTTGTTTACTTTGAGATTTTTCTAGAAATTTATTTTCTAATCCTTTTACTGATTTTTGTGACATTATATTTGTGGTTCCCCAGAGCTTTGTCATATTTTCTTTTTATAGCAGCCTATTTTATGAGTACATTATCTTTTCTTATTTTTCTGAGGGTATTGATGATTATTCTTTGAAATGTTGTTTTGCCATATGCATTGTATCTCTTTTTCTTTGAGTTTGGTTTAGTCTTTTTCTTCCATGCCAAAGGCCTTGTTTAGCTGCCTGGTGTCCTTCACTGATTGTTCGTATTTAAGAGTAGAATTCTGAAAAGCTGATCAGAAGTTCCTTTTGTGTAGGACAGTTACGTGGTGAGCTGCCAATTCACTGAGAACCTCCAAATATCATTGTCTGTAGGTCAGTTGGTGCTGAGAAATATTCTTTTGCCTAGAAAAAGCATTCTGGAGCTGGATGGAAGAGAAGAGATGGAGATCTTAATTTTTCAACATGCAGACTTACACTGAAGTCAAGTCTTTACTTTAGCACTTCACTCTGTATCTGATCCTTCACTCTTTTTTTTTTTTTTTTTTTCTGGAGAGTACACCTTTCCAAGCAGTAGTCATCTACTTGTTTTTAGTCCTTTGCAGTCTCTAATGACTCATTTTTCCTCCCCTTTTTGCTTTTTATTTTTGCCTTTAGTTTTGAACCTGCTGTGGTTCTATAGGTGATAATCAACTTCTTTTGAGTTCTCTGTACGGGCATTTAGGTTTGATCATGCACTGCTCCACTGAGTCACATACCATTGCTTTTTCCCGCTCTGTTTTCTTCACCTTTTGAGGTAATGGAGTTTGTTGGGTTTCCTAGTTTGATTGAAAATGCATCATGTGTATTTGGTTTCTTGTTCTTTTTGTTTGGGACTGATTTCTGAAAAGATCACACTGTCTTAAAACAAGTCTTAGTAGAAAACTATATTAAAAGACAATCAAGGGATGCCTGGGTGGCTCAGCGGTTGAGCATCTGCCTTTGGCTCAGGATGTGATCCCCAGGGTCCAGGGATTGAGTCCCACATCAGACTTCTGCAAGGAGCCTGCTCCTCCCTCTGCCTATATCTCTGCCTGTCTCTCTCTCTGTGTCTCTCATGAATAAATGAATAAAATCTTAAAAAAAAAAAAGACAAAATGACTTTTAACAAAAATTACAGGGTTTGTAATACTTTGATCTTTATCCTCCTGGTTTTTACTTAAGCAGTATACATGACTTACTAGTTTAAAAGCTGAGGAACAAATATGACACAACTTTATTGGTGATTGTCTTTTTTTTAAAGTTTATTTATTTAAATAATCTCTACACCCAGTGTGGGGCTCAAACTCATGACCCTGAGATCAAGAGTTGCTGCTGTTCTGACAGAGCCAGCCAGGATCACCCCTGGTGATTGTCTTAAGAGAAGTGGTTCAGATATTCTGAACATCACTTTCTGTATCAATAAGGCAGTATTAATCTGCTGTCTGGCTTTTCCATTGGAATCCTTTGAGATTAATGAATGATGTTTTGATCTGTAAAACATGTTAGATTTAGGATTGAAGACAGTATAATAATACTTGTTTTAGAAATGTTGAAGTTCTAGTTAAGATTCTTAGGTTAATTTATTCCTTTTGATATATTTTATAATCAGGGTTGACCATTATTAGTCATAATCCTGTCTTGAGTGAAGTGTGTTCCTGGCATGTGTATCTTCAATGAAAAGAATAAGGTGTAATATTTCCACTGATGGTGGTTGGGCACAGTGTATTGGGAAGTCCATAGACATCCAATACCTAACTTGCCTCTCTTTTTGCTTAGGTACCACTCCCTCCCACTTTCAGGGTTTTTCTTTCCCCAAGCCTGGCTAGAGAATCGGATATTGTCTCATGTTTTCCTTACTGTCCCTCAAGACAAGTTCACAGCGTAAATAATGAAAGTGAAGAAGTTGATAGGGTTAAGTCCAGAATTTTAATTCCTAACTAGATAAGATGACTGTATGCTGCCTTTGGGTTTCTTTATTCTGGTTTTATTATCCTAGAAGCAGAGCATGCAACCCCTTCTGAATTCAGTGTGTGGTAAGAACATTATCTGTTTCCAGCCTCGAAGAGGAACTCAGAGTAGAACCATGTGTCTCCTTATCTTAAATGAGGTGTTTCCATCTGGACAGGCTGTCTGAATTTATCAGTTCTCCTGGAATTTTTTACAGGAATAGTACTATTTGGGTATTTTCTCAGGGTGGAATGTTGAGGAAAAGACTGTTTCTCTTTCCTACCACTTGCAACCAAAATGTAACCTGGGAGCAAAATACTATTGCCCATGTCATTAGTTCAGTCCACACTGAAATTTTAGACCCTTTGGCTAAAGGTTTGTGGGTCATACTTCTTCCATTCCTTTTATTAAATCAATTGAGAACTGGCACTGTGCCACACATTATGCTAGATACTAGGATTTAGCATTTAAGGTAAATGTGGTCTCTCCCCTTCACTCTGCTTGCCATATAATTCAAGGGAAGAACTATTAAGCTTATTCTTACAATTTCTCTTCTATCTTGTGGTCAAAATCCTATTTTAAGTTTGAAACTTCCCTTACCCTTTATGATTTTTTTCCCTCACTTCTAAGCCTTGTCATCTTGAATGTCTTCACTGTCCTTATATTAAATAAGTAATCAGTAGCTTAGTTTTCTAATTCCTTGCTCTCAGCTCCATCAACTTTCACTTCCATTTTACTTTTCCAGCCCCTATAACTGTATTCTCCACCTCTGAAGTATTGGACTATAATAGAACAATAACGTTCTTACTTTATTCCCACAATGCTTGGTCTTTGGCTCTCAGCCTCTTAGTTCTGTGACTTTTTTTTTCTTCTAAAGTTCTTACCTCCTTCTTATTTCACTTTATTCTCAATCCAGCCTAAACAGCATGATCTGCCATTGACCTTTTTTTTTTGAGATTTTATTTATTTATTCATGAGAGACAGAAAGAGAGACAGAGACACAGGCAGAGGGAGAAGCAGGCTCCATGCAGGGACCCCGATGTGGGACTCCACCCCGGGGTCTCCAGGATCAGGCCCTGGACTGAAGGTGGCACCAAACCGCTGAGCCACCTGGGCTGCCCCTGCCATTGACCTTTTGTTTAGGAAAGTCTTACTCTTAATAGTTTAATTGTTAATGCTCCTTTATTTATGTATCTTAACTACTGAACATTGCTGGCAGAAATCATAAACATATAGGTTGCTGCTAGGACAAATTCATACTCCCTGACTCAGTATTTACCAGCTATTTTTCTACATGTCTTTAGACAACTTCTTCCTTCTCTGTAACTTTGCTAGCAGTCCCTCTTACCTCTTTTAGTAGACTGCCTCTTTTCCTATTAGGGGCTGTTATGTGTGATTACCTTCCACTTCAGGCTGTTATGTGTGATTACCTTCCACTTCCTGTTCTAATCCCTACTCCTAATACCTTACTGATCTGCATTTTCACCTGTCTACTTCCTTCTCTCCAGTGTTAGTGAGGTGTATTCCTTCTC